GACGGTGTCGGCGATGCCGCCCAGGACAGCGTTGGTGACCATCATGGTCAGGACGGGGCGCTCTTCGTAGTAGGCATTGAAGCGAGCGGTGAGGCGGGCGGCGAGGGCCATTTCGATGAGGAAGATGATGGAATGGAGCAGTGGCTGGATTGTTAGCACGAGAGAAGGGAAGAACCACAAAATGTACAAAAGAAAACAACACGAGCAAAAGCGGGACATCGTACAATCTGTCCGTAGATGAACTTGCTGTTGGCCGCCCGGGCGATGCGGCGTGAGAGGAGATCCCACGACATCTTGCTGTAAGAATGCGTGGGAAGGGGAGAGGGGAGCGTGAAGTTGACGGCGAAAATCCGATGCAGTCGACAAGGAACTGTCGAAATAGTGAAAGGGCAAGGAGCAGCTCGGTCGATGACGACACGCAATGCAGACGTAGCGCCCGGCACTCGTCCTCACTCGTCCTATCGCGGGTTAGTTCGGCGTATTTTTAGTGGCGGATTTGGTATCGCTCAGGCAGTTCCACAGTTCCACAGTGACGGCACGCGACACAGGGATGAGCGAGAAATAGGGCTGGAAAGCGTGGAGAGGAGTCGATTTGTGCTTTTGTGGTAGCGATGAACGAGAGATGGAATTGATGGAATGAATTAACGGGAGGAAGACCAGGACGAGGAGGAAAGATGCAGAATACGAGATGCACGGGACGAGGATAAAGATCAAACCACATCGCCCCTTCCCTTTGTGTGCACTCCGCCTTTCTCCTTCCTCGTTTCGTCTCTCCTCCCTGCGCCCGCAGATCTCCTCACAGGTCCCCTCACAGTCCACTAAAGCCTTTATTCGAACAGTGCGGTGGACACTATATCACTTCTTTTGGGGACGCTCTTTTGTTAGCCCACCAAAAGGGAAGGTCACAAAACCGCGCAAACGAGTCAGCCAGCCAGCATACGGAGTCCAGTTCCGTATTCTCCGTGCACCAACCGTTTCCTAAGATGGCCCGAGCCTGCGTGGCGGGACTCTTCCTCTGACGTGCCTGCGTTAGTACTCTAGCGCTTGCCAACGAGCGCCTCAGCGGCCTTAGTGGCCTGGTGAGACAAGAACCGCCAGAACAGAGGGACAGAATAGGGCAAGGGCGACAGGCGAAGACAGACAGCGAGGCCCGTTCTTGCACATTACGGCGAGGCAGCAGCGGAGGACATGTCAGAAATCCTCGACGGATATGGAAAGAACGACGACGAAAGATGTGCAGTTTCCAGTTTTGGCGTCCTGAAAGACTGAGGCAATAGCATGGCATAGAGTAAGAAGGAGCGATTGAAAAGCCTAGCGCCCCGAGGGAGACCGGATTTAGCACTCTCTCGCTGCCCCTTCCTCCGGCCATACGACAGGAACGGATGGCGCTCAGCCCCAGCGGCCAGCATCAGCGCCGACAACAGCTCCTGCAGGGCAGACGTGCTTACTGTCCTGCAAAAGCGGCTCCTTCCCACATTGGGCATTGGCCATTGGAACGTTCATTGGCTCTAGCCTTTTGGGGTTTCTTACTCCCCTTTCCCTTTCCCCTTCTTTTCCGTCATCCGTCTTGTCCGTCTTCTTTTGTTTCTTGTGCATCCTTTGTTTCGTTTCTTTCTTTTCCCTTTCCTTTCTTTTTCTTAGTTATTTGTATTGGTTACTGGATATCTACTCCTCGTCGTCGTCTCGTCCTTGACGTGTCCAGCCTTGTCTTGGCGGCTAGTCTTTTCTGTCTTTTTCTTTCATTTTTTATTCTTTTTTCTTTTCTCCTGTTCCTTTTTTCCTCTTCTTTCTCCAACGGCTTGAGACGATCTTGTCCACACGCAGCTTTTCCCCCTGCATCTCTCGTTGCTCGCATTGGCCAATCCCGCCAACCGCTCACACCAACCAGTGATAATCACCAACAACGGTCTATTTCGTCCCATGAGTCCCATATAACCACAATCGCCTCTCATGTGCGACTGTCTCACATAGAACCACCCTTACCACCGTACCACCTCAACGCCCTCCCCCACCATGTCGTCACTCAGGACATGGTTCCGGGGCAGCTCGGCGTCGGCGTCTAACAAGGCTGCCAGCCGCGAGGCCAGCCCGGCTGTCTCGGCATCGACGTCTTCCACGGCCATTTCTGCTGCTGCTGCTTCATCTTCTTCTCAAGGCGAACCCACGTCTTCCGTATCCCCTGCCGTCGCACGCGAGCTGTCCGACTTGCAGGACGCCATGGCCTCGACGGCCCTGCTGCTCAACGACGACATGGAAGGCGCCGAGACCCGCCTGCGCGCCCGCAAGGGCAGCTCTGTTTTCCACCTCATGGGCCTGGGCGTGTCGACGTTTATGCGGTCCGTTCTCGGCTTCGAAAAGGAGTTTATGAACGAGGCCAACGCCCGTCTGCTGGAGTGCGAGTCGCGCGCCTGGGATGAGATGAAGAAGGCCCAGTCGGCCGCCAGCGGTGGTGGTGGTGGTGGTGGGGGCTGGCTTGGAGGCCGGGCCACAGCAACAACAACCACGGCCGCCCCGACGTCAGGCACCCAAATCTATCCTCCTGGCAGCGAGTACGCCCTGGTGCACGCCGAGTCACAAATCATGCTGGCCGTCGTCGCCGAGCTGCACGAGAGCCTGACAGAAGCCATCCGCGGATTCTACAAGCTGCGCAAGGCCTTTGTATCGCTCAGCGGCATCATCGCGTCGGAGGAGGCTTACCTGCGGGGCGAGACACCTGTGCACGCCCACGGTGCTGGCGAGAGACGCCTGTCGTACACAGAGGACCCCATGCCGGGCGCGTTTGACGACACTGAGTTTGCCGACCTAGAGGCCGAGGCTGCTGCCGAGGTGGAAGCGGAAGCGCACCGGCCGACTCTAAAGGCCAGCGGTGCCAATGGTGTCAATGGTACCAATGGTGATGCTGAAAAGCAGGAGGCGGTGCCTGCCCCGGCGACACCCACAAAAACACCCACATCCCCCCTCTCCGAAAAGACTGCGGCACTGTCGCTCAACGGCGGCGCGCCACGGGCTAGCAGCCAGACATCGCGCAGCCTGGCTTCGACGCCAACAGCCGCGGTGCCGTCTGCTACGTCTTCCGCTGCTGCCACGATGCGTGCCCGCAGGCGGCACCTCGACACCCTCACCAACCCCGTCGATATTTTCGTGCACTCGGGCGTCAACCTGTGCTTCGGTCTGCTGTTGTTGCTCATCTCCATGGTGCCGCCCGCCTTCTCGCGCCTGCTGTCCATCGTTGGCTTCAAGGGCGACCGCGAGCGCGGCGTGCGCATGCTGTGGCAGAGCACCAAGTTTGCCAATATCTACGGCGGCCTGGCGGGCCTCGTGCTGCTCGCGTACTACAACGGCCTGATGGCCAACGCGGACATTCTGCCCACGGACGACGACATTGCTTCATCCAAGTCGGGTTCTACCTCGAGTCACGAAGACGGCGACGACGAGATCGTCGGCTACCCCAGGGAGCGCTGCCGCAGGCTTCTGGCGCACATGCGCACGCTGTACCCGGACAGCCTGCTGTGGGTTTTGGAAGAGGCCCGGCTGCTGTCGACGGAGCGCAAAATCAAGGAGGCCATGGCCGTCCTGCAGAGTGGTGGTGGCGCGACTTCGGACGGCAAGCCGCGCGTGGCCAAGATGCGCCAAATCACGGCCCTCACCAAGTTTGAGCTGGCCATTGACTCCATGTGCGCCATGGAGTGGGAGACGATGCGGGAGGCCTTTTTGGCCTGCGTTGAGCTCAACACCTGGTCGCCCGCGCTTTACTATTACAACATCGGCTGTGCCGAGCTGGAACTGTATCGCACCGCCTTTCACCGCGCCAAGGCTCTGGCGGCCGAGGGCGAAGCACAATCGCAGGAAGCCGAGATCGCCGCCACCGAAGCGGCCAAGTACAAGAAGGCCGCCGAGGCCCACCTGCGCAAGGCGCCCACGATGGCCGGCAAGAAAAAGTTTATGGCCCGCCAGATGCCCTTTGACGTCTTTGTCATCCGCAAGGTGGCGCGCTGGGAGGACCGCGCCAAGCTGCACAAGATTGACCTGGCCGACGCCGTCGGCGTCAGTCCCGCGCTCGAAATGGCCTACCTGTGGGGCAGCGCCAAGCGGCTGCCGGCCGACCTGCTGGAGCTGGCCCTGACAAAATACCTGCCGTGGACGCGTTGCACGGCCGATGCGGCCGTTGTCCAGACCTTCCAGGCGGCGCCGGACGAGAGCGGCATCGGCAGTTTATGTCGAGCGGCGCTGCTGCGGGCGCTGAACCAAGGAGAGGCGGCCATGAAGGTGTTGGAAGAGGAGTTGTTTGTCCATGACAGGTGAGTCCGCCCCGAGCATGCCGATAGGCGTGCCATAAGCTTGACGCTTACATTTGTGTCCTCAATTTGTGTCCTCACCCTATCCTCACGTTGCTAACAAATACAGGTCCGCCTTCAAGGGCCCGCTCAAAGACGACTATGTTCAGGCGGCCGGCCACTACGAAGCCGCCGTCATCCTCTACATGCAAGCCAACGATCCAGCTCTGTTTCCAAGCCGGGACGACGTGGCCGCCGTCGACACGTACCGCCGCTCACGCGTCAACGAGAGTCTGGCCGAGCTCGACAAGGTGGCCAAGTGGGAGACGTTTGTGCTGGACGCGCGCATTGGCATGAAGCTGCAGACGGGCATGGACACGATCAAGTGGCTCAAGGAGAAGAAGGGGTGGGCCTAGGCCGGTCTGGTCGAACAGAAAAGAGCAACAATCGGGCGATAGACTTTGTACATACACACTTGCATTGCGGTGTTCTCTCGGATGGCATTTTGCTTGGCTCTGTTTTGTCCTTGGTTTCCTCTCATCTTTGGTCTTGGTGCATATTTTTTGGCTACAGGTCACGTTTGAACACCTTTTGGCTGTCTTTTGGTTACTCGGGTCTTGCATAGACGATTTACTTTTGGAACAATTCAATTTTAGAGCACAACGCGTTCAACACAATATTCACTACAAAACCAAAGATTCTGATATCCAGTCCACCGCCCCCAACCTACACCCGCTTCCGCGACCGCCGGCCATGGCCGTTCCGTTTCTTTGCCGCCACAGGCGCTTCGACTTGTTCCTCCTCCTCGTCGTCATAGTCGTCGTCGTCGCCGTTGTCGCCATCGTCGTCGTGCGGTCGCACCACATCCGCCGCCGCCAGCGCCTTGCGCTTCTCGCCAGCGACCACCTGCGACACCGTTGCCGCCGCGTCTTGCACCGCACCCAGTCCTGGGACGACCACCGCGCCAGCCTGTGCGTCCGCCACAAGACTGCCACTGCGCGGCCAGCTCGTGCCCTGCGCCCAGTCCAGCAGGCCCCAGGCGCCAAAGTTGACGCCCTCGGGGTGGTCCGTCTTCTTTTTGCCTTTGCCTTTGCGTCCGCCCTCGGCCGGGGCGGTCGTGTAGTGGATGGCCATCCGCCGCGCAATGCCGCGCAGCAGCAGGCCCGGCACCACGCGGTATCCGCTCATGCCCAGCGTCTCTTCGAGCGTGACCAGCCCGACAAAGACGAGAAACACCAGCAGGTGCGGCCGCACGAGCAGCGCCGCGCCGTACAGCGGCGTCCACCGCAACAGCAGAACCGAGGCCGGGTGGTCGGCAAACACCAGCAGGCTAAAGGGCGCCTGGTGGCGGGCGTGGGCGTAGCTGCCGAGGTGCCAGCGGCTGAGGCGGCGGACGAGGGCCCAGCGCGCGTCGGGGCGCGACAGCAGGAAGCGGTGCGCCGCGTAGACGAGCCCTTCGCGCAGCAAAAAGAGGACGACGGTCTGCTTGAGAATCTGCCAGGGCAGGGGCAGCTGGGAGGCGGCGTTGAACAGGGGCGGCAGGGCGGGCGGGGCGCGCGTGGTGCGCGAAAAGGCGGGGAAGTAGGACGACGAGAGGGACGACAGGGACGAGAGGGACGAGAGGGACGACGAAAAAAAGGACGCCTTGGGTTTCGGGACAACGAGCCGGTGCACCAGGCGGTACGTCGCCGCGACGCCCGTGGTCAGCAGTGCCCAGGCGCCCGACAGCGCCGGCAGCAGCGCCAGCTGCAGGCCGGCCTGGAGGAGCACCTCGACCGCGACATTGAAGACGCCGAGCAGGACGAGCCGCGCCAGCAGGCTGCGGTGCGCGTCGCCGCGCGGCGGCAGAGACGCGGCGCCGCCAATCTTGACGTTGGCTGCGAGCGACGGCAGGCTGGTGTCAAAAGCCAGAAAGGCGAGCGACGGTACGAGCCACAAGAGGACGCGTATGCTCAGCACGCCCACGAGCTCAATGTGCAGGGGCGCATAGGACAGGACCAGCGTGGTCCAGGTCAGGTAGAAGAAGAGGACGTTGATGGACGTTGACCACGACGTGGCGGCGCCCGGTCCGAGGAGGTAGGACACGATGGGGAGGGAGAGAAGGACATCCATTGCGGCGGTGGGGAATGAGGAGCTCGGAATACGTGAGTGCCAGTGAGCACAAGTGAGCGCAAGTGAACTCGACAGATGGTCGTGGAGCGTCGATGCGATCAAGTTGCAATGTGATTTGGGTTGGGTTGGCGACCAGAAAAGTGGCAAAACGGCAACGAAAGAATCAAACAAATACCCCCGTCTGTTTGTCTCTCTTACTCCGTATTTCCCCAAATGATTGACAGGCACTCTCGCGAGACCGTTGGATCGCTTTGTTCGCAGCTCACTAGCGTGTCTCTGTGTCTCTGTCTCGCGTGTGTTTTTGTGTGTTTTTCAGTTGACACCTCCTTAGCCTCATGGCGCTTTGCGTCAGTTTTGTCGGTGACGTCGTCGTCAGAATTGTTGGCCAGGCCCAAAGTTGGACAGGGGAGGGTGTGGCACATCCCTGCTAGCCTATTGACACGAACGCAGCTCGGCACGGACGTCATCGCTTGGTCGAAGAAACAATAGCCAATAGGTGATGATTGTTGTGATATGCGGGTGGTATGCACAATTTACTTCGTGCCTAATCAAAGCGTGACTGCCGCACCTCAGCTCCTAAATATCCTCGTATCCTTTTCTGCCTCTTAAAACCCCTTTCTCTAGATCTTGACGCACAGGGGCAGTTTGGCCCGTGAGTTGCGCGGCGGTGATCTTGGTGGTCTCCTTGAAACTGTCTTCACATTCCCTCTCCCCGCGCTCTTGCTGTGGAGTTCGTCGACCCAGCGGTCGGTACACATGGTAGATCGTAACGGTGAGCTTGTCGACCATCACGGTAATGCGTGCCAGCGCCTCCAGAGACCGCAAAACAGCCTTGGGACAGTTGCAAGACACAATCCTGGTGAAAGGCCTCGAGACTGTCGACAATGTTTCCACGCGATGCAGGTCACGTGGACTTGTCACCCTTCACCACGTGACTCAGAATGCAACTTCCTTCACAGCCAACAACGTTCATTATGATCATTTGCATCTTGACGTGCACCGCTCTCTTCCAGTGCACTCTTCATTCTCTAGGTGATTGAGCCGGTAGCTTCTCAGCTCCCAATTCCCGAGACGATGTGGACGAGTCGAAGCCACACGAACGCAGACCTCCTGTAAGTGCACCTGTGAGAGAAGGCAAGCTGGCAAAGCGAGGAAACATTTGTTGACATACGCCGTAGCTAAAGACTGCAGGCAAAAGAACCAAGCGTGGACCATGCCGCCGTGACACGACCAGAGCGGGCGTGCAGTCCTTTTGTCCTTTCCACGTCCCGTCAGAACTGGCACGTCACAAGAGGACGGCTGCTGCACCGTCTTAGCACCGGCCTCGTCAAACAACGAGTCGCCAATGGCAACGTTGTCGAGCACCCTTTTGAACGCAAAGGCCATGCCGCCGCTGACAGTGAGCGTGTTAGCCTTGTCCAACAGATGTAGTGGCGAGTCGTTCAAGGCCACCGACGAGTCTGCCATATCCGCTCCGTCAGCCTTGCGCTACTAAGCCGGACTAACAAGGTACGTCTCTGCGGCTACCACATTTGACTGGTCCATAGTCAGCGGCTCGCACCGTTAGTCAAGACCCTGTGCATGGGGTCTCTCAATACAATGTATGTATATGTTTTTTACAGCTGCTTCACACGTTGTTTATGGGTCAAGACGACGATGGTGGTACAATGGCGCAAGGTCGTCAAGTATCAGCATATATCAAAGTACAAGGTGTACAATCAGCATCCGCTTTAGTGTCCGACTACTTTGCTTGCAGCCGATATTGAGGACGTTGTCATGGGGATATTTAGGTATGGTCCTCCCAGCCTTTTTTTTCACGTTCATTGTTTGACTCTCAAACTCCACGCTCGCTCCACGATGAAAGCCGAAATTCTCAATCTTTTTCGTTTAGTCAAGTCTAAGCCGTCAAAAGACTCCCCGGAGTCTGGTCTGCTCGGGCGAGAACAAGGCAAGTACCTGTCGAAGACACCCTCCGTCGACAAGTTAGATGCCGCGTCGACCACCTGGCGCCAGCGGAGACGACAGAATGCACGCGATTCAGCGCTCCACCGCCTGCCCAACGAGCTCTTGTTTGTCATTTTCCGCGAGTCCGACTTTCTGTCCCAGCAAATGATTCGACAGACGTGCCACCTCTTTGCCGCTCTGATTACAGGCTTGGGCGGCAGTCGTGCCGGACAGAGATTTGATGGCACATACGATGTACGCCAGATCTGGCCATGCCATGGATCGGCAGCCCGCCGCGAGGCGATTCGGCCGGAGTGGACCGCACTGACCCGCCGAGACAAGGAGGGTCTGTGTACTGATTGTACGGAGTTTGAACAGTCGGGCCAGCTCAAGGAGTGTCTCGAGTGGCTCGACCTGTTACTGTGGTGCAGCTCCTGTCAGACGTACCACAAGCGCGGCATGTTTCCGGCCTCCCACCGCCGTAAGATCAAGGCTGAACGGAGTTGCATTGGATGGCAAGGCCGTTGGCGCATCTGCCCGCACCGCAGCCTCTCGTGGGGTCGGCTGATACAGGAATGGGCGATGTGTTGGTGGACAGGCGAATGGGAGATTCGTACGCTGTATGGCTGGCGGGGCGCGGAGCTGCCGCTATTTGCGTGCGGCGAGGGGTGCGCCGTTCCAGGAGGCTGTACCAACGGGGACAACCGCGTGCCGAAGATGGACACTGTCACTCATGCCTACGCCGTCGACTGGAGCGAGGAACACGAGCGGGATGGGCCTCGACACTGGGTGGGCACCATGTGGCGCGCTGCTCTCTTTGACTGGACCCGTCCGAGCCGCTCTCGTTGCGGTCTTTCCAGGAGAAACTCGACGACCCGGGCAACAGAAACAGAAAACGCGCCTCAGGGACGTACCTCTGCCCACATGTCCGCTTCGACGACGGTAAGCTCCTTCGTCCGCTGCAAGCACCCAATTGTCTCTGCTTTCCCAAAGACGACAAGAACAACAGCGACAACAACGACAACAACGAGACCAAAATGAACCGAGGCCCTGGGTATACCATGCAGCAGCACGGGTACGACTCGGACACGTGCCAGTGGCACTGTGCCTGCCATGGCGCAGGCCGAAAACACGCCTCGCTGACGCGACCGACCAAGCCCGACGGGACGGTCTGGAATGTCTGGCAGCTGCGGGATGTCCAGGGTACGAATGGAATGAATCTGTACGAGCCCATCCCGAACCACTTGCATGAATACCAGTGCTCGGTGTGTGACGCCCGGTATTCTTGGCTACGGGAAGGAAACACCATGGTCCTGCAGCACGTGAGCTGGTGTGGTCCAACGGATCGTCCGGATGGGACGTGGATTCGGAAACTCGACCCTCACTCATGGAACATCCCCAAAGACAAGAAGACAAAGCACGTCTATTGGTGCCCCGACAGCACCTGCCGGACAAACCACGAATGGCAGGCACTCTACAAGCGTCTCGGGGTGTAGGTAGTGGGTATAGTCTTTTTTTGTTTATTTTGTCTTTAGGTAGTACCGGGGACAAGGCAAGGATAAGGTGGAAACGTTGTCATCGAATAACAAATATAGAAACGGGCTATTAATGGAAATTCATCTCAACTGATTATACATTGTAGTATACAAACGTTCGTATGCTCCATGTTGCACGTGAAGTTGGTCTGGTATGACGGTAATCAACAGAAACGTACTGTGTATGGGCACGACACGAGGCCGTCCATTTGCATCCACAATTTGTAGCGAACTCGGCTGCCTCGAATAAGATACGACCGCAAGGCGTAATGTCAGGCTCCTGTAGAGGGAGCCTGCGCGTAAGAAGGACGTCACCTAGTTAACGACGCTGTCTCCCGTGTCGTATCCGTGATCGATCAACTTTATACTTTGTGGACAAGAGGCGCGCCTCTCCATTCCAGAATGTCGTCAAGTTCGCGACAATATCTCCCTGTGTCATGTCCATAATCGATGTGACAATTGTCGAAACAAGCCCGTTCGATCTTGGAAACTAGTTAGACCTCACGTACGTAGTGTCGTCATAAATCACAACATGGTATCTTACTTACCTGGACATGTCAAGGATGGTGGCAGGTATTGGAATCGATGCGCGTAGAGATGATACTCGCGTAGGTACTTATCGAGTCCTAGCCCAGCCACTTAATGTGTTCTTTGATGCTCTTGGCACGTTCTCTCTATATTGCCAGTGACTTCGATGTAGCTGTCGACTGTGGTAGTTCCTATACGAGTAGATGGAATAGAACTGGACCGCTAAGCCAACGGGCAAAATAGAGAGCCCTCGAGCACCAAGGCTAGATAACAAGTCTGACATTCCGTAGTCCTCAAACATCAACTGGTACCAAGGCCGCCGAAGAGGTGTCCACCCGGCCGTCCTCACAACGAAGTGCGTACTTGGTGGCTGGTATGGCACCCGCAACGCATCGCAGGTTCGTGACGTTCTTGCTTGCGTCAAGGGGAACGTTGAAAGCCACCCGGATTGTCGCCCGCTGACCCTTCAGGTAAGATACAGGTTCTTGATTGTGGCCAGGTTGGCTATCGACATCCTGTTTTGTGTCAGTTTTTATGCTGCGTGTAGAGAACGAGTCAGAACATACCTCGGTGTCCAATTTGCGCTGGAAAGCTCTGTCTTTGGAAGTTCTGGCGGATCAAAAACAGGGTGTAGAGCAATCATGTCGTGCGGCTGAAAGGCCATACTTTGGCCCCGAAAGAGAGTGGCCTTTCTGTAAGACTTGGGAACAGACTGGGGATGTGGATGATGTGGGCCGAAGAGAAGAGAAAAAGAAAGAGAAAAACAGAAAGAAACAAAATCAGAACAGGTTTATTTTGAGCTTCTCTTGGTTCCTGTTTACGCGGTTGTGCAGCAGTGGCGGGGCCATTGGCCGAGAAACTCGAAACCACGCCAACAGCCATCAGAGAATCCGCAATTGCATGAATATGCTACTACCACAGTAACCACAGTATCCGTTGACAAAGGTCTCTCGTTCAATTGCCGAGAATCAAATAGCCGGTTCAACAGCCCCGACAGCACCAAAAAGCAATATAAATGATTGCTCTCTCCTCTCGTCTGAAGTGCCCCTGATATCGACTCCCCTCGAGCGAGTGCCGCACTTTATACCGGGACAAAAGAATCAACAACATGTTATTTATATCGTAGACAATCAACTAAGGAAACCGTAGCGAGCGGCCTGCCCACCCTGGCCAGCCACATACATGTACATATATATATATAGACCTAGCTGTCGAGCATCTTGACCTTGCGAGCGAGATGAGATGCCCATCGTCGACAACTTTTCTCTCTCTCGCCCCAAATTGACCATGCTCGGTTCTCTTTTCTTGCTGGCCGCTACAGTCGTGTCTGCAGCTGATGTTGGCGGCTGCACGCGCGACCTGCTGCAGGCCGTCGCCGACAGCGTCGTCGCCGCCCAGACTGCCGGCAACCCAGCGCTTCTCCAGCCCGCCGCCGCGGCGGATGCCATGTACACCGAGAACCGCCAGCCGGCTACGTCGCTCGCCGCGGGCATCCTGTCGCACGCCCTCAAGCCCGACCACGTGCGCAGCTCGCTCGACACGACGCAGTGCGCCACGTATACGGAGATGATTGTGGCCACGGGCGCCAAGCCGTACGAGATTGGCGTCCAGGTCTTTCTGGCACCGGGCGACGCCTCGGCCGTCCACCGCGTCGACACCATCTATACGTCGACGGGCGACTGGCTGTTCAACATCACGGGGACGCTGTACTGGGCGAGCCGCGAGACGTGGGGCCCGATCCCGGAAGCGCAGCGGGACACGCGCGCCGTGATCCAGGCGGCGGCCGACGCCTACTGCGACGTCTTTAGCAACAAGAGCACGGTGGTGCCGTGGGGCACGCCGTGCGCGCGGCTCGAGGGCGGGTCGTACACGGGCAAGGGGTCGGCCAGCGACAGCTGCAACGTCGGCATCCCGAGCGGCGTCTCGCTGACGCAGCGGCGGTACGTGATTGACGAGGTGATTGGCGCGGTGGACGTGTTCATGTCGTTTGCCAACCTGCCGGACAGCCACGACTTCCGGGTGGAAGGGGGCAAGCTGCGGTATGTGCACACAATGACAGTGATGACGGGCGGCAAGGGGAAGAGCAGTGGTGGAGGCGGCGGGACGGGCGGCAAGGGCGCGAAGAGTCGGCGCAGTGTGACAGGCGGTGTCAAGCAAGGTGCGGGTTTGTAGATACATGGCGATACATGGAGAGTGACAAAAAATGAGAGGAGTCTTGGTCGAACCCGATGCTGCGCATCGTGCATTCTAATGACACGCCTTGCCGTACCTGCGCAGACGCATGTAGTTGTACGGCAGCGGCGCCAGAAACCCGGCCACCATCGACACGCCCGCCGCCGCCCAGAACAGCGGCTCGCCGAACGTGTACCCGGCGGCCTGCCCGCCGCTCGTCAGCCAGTAGTCCACGGCATTCTCGGCCAGCTCCATGGTCAGCATGGAAATAAAACTCATGCCGACGGCCGTGCGCGCAGCAAGACCCCAGGACAGACCGTCGCGGCCGACCCGCAGCAGAACCGTCTCCAGCAGCACCGACGTCGTCAGCCCGCTCGCCATGGCCAGCCCCATGATCGTCGGCCACATGCCCCAGTCGGCGTGGTGCGTCTGCAGGTACCACAGGACGGCAAAGTCGCCCACAGAACAGCCGACGAGGCAGCGCAGGGTGTTGACACCGGCACGGCGCCAGGTGGGCGGGGACTTCCAGAAGGCGAGGGACGTGAGAGAAGGAGTGGGTGGAGGTGTGGTCTTGTGGCAGCACGACGACACAGTCGACGAGGCCGGAAAGGTATGTTTCGCTGACGACCGACAAATCAAGGACAGAGACAGCGGCCGTCGTTGACGCGTCTGCACCAGACGGAAACAGGTCTGGGCGAGGGCCAATGGCCGTGCTCGTGAAAGAATGCGACTGGCCATGGCAGCGTCTGAGAGTGTGAGTTGGATGTAAAAAAGAAGAGAGAAGAAAGACAAAACGCTGCAACGTACTGTTAATCAGCTCTCTGGCAAATTCAATGGGGCGACTTTACGCGAAAACGGCGCATCTCGGGTTTGTTGAAAGATGACAGGGGCTTTACATCGCTAAAGGTTGGTGTTGTGTTTTGTGCCAAGACATGATGTCCAAAGTCGAACAGGAAAGGTGACGATGAAAAGGGGTAACAATGAGGAGATATCAAATGCCCACAAAGTAGTGAGTACAGAACATATCATAACTGAATAAAAAGAAGAAAGAACGAGTCTTTTGTTCCTCGGTTGCTCTTGCCAGTGTTTTCTAAGATTAGTCATCAAGCTTAGGCCTTAACACTTCTAACAGCTCCACTGCTTTTGAGCTCTCAACCTCTGCCAACCTCCACTCAACACAGCAATCTCGTCGAGGATGTGCGGTATCCACGCTCTCATTGCACTTGTGGATGACTCTGCAGGCAATGGAGACACAGCACCAACCCACGCGGTAGACGGCCTCCCAGAGGTCCTCCGCGACCGCCTCGCACGTCGCGGACCCGACCACCTTGGCCAGGTATCCTCTTCATTTACGGGCCGGAAAGACAGGAAGCCTGTGTCTTTGCAGTTCACATCGACCGTGCTGGCCCTGCGCGGCGACGGCCTGACGAAGCAGCCGTTGGTGGACACGGCGGCCGACACGGGGCGCGTCCTCTGCTGGAACGGCGAGGTGTGGAAATGGAAGGTGAGCGGCGAACACGGCAGGACACAAGTCGAAGTCGACGGCAACGACGGACAGCATCTGTTTGAGCGTCTGGCGGCGTGTTCCGACACGGACGCTGTGCTCGCCGTCCTGCGCGCCATCGAGGGCCCGTTTGCATTCGTGTACTACGACCGGCCAGCAGGGCGGCTCTTTTACGGACGCGACCGACTCGGGCGGCGGTCGCTGTTGGAGAGGCGGACGGGCCGTTCTCTCACGCTGTCGAGTGTGTCTGACATGTCTTTTTCGTCAGCGACAGAGGCGCCTTGGGTGGAGGTCGAGGCGGACGGCATCTATGTGGTGGACCTACTTCAGGACCGGCCGTTTGCCCACGCGTCGTCGAGTGACGATGCTGTTGACGGCGGCGGCGGCGGTACTACACGGTACGACTGGTCGAAGGAGCTTGGAAACGATAGTGTCAGCGGTCTCGGACACTTTAACATGGCTGCCGATCCGCCACCATGCGAGAGCCGCCTCACCCTCGACTCGCCGTCTGTGCGAGAGCTGCGTGACCAGCTCACAGCCTCCCTGCGTCTCCGCGTCCGCAACGTCCCGCGGCCGCCATCCACATCGTCTCGTGTCCACCCAGGCACCGACAGGGTCGACACCCGTATCGCCGTCCTCTTCTCGGGCGGCCTCGACTGCACCGTCCTCGCCCGGCTGGCCCACGACCTGCTGCCCGCTGATCAGGGCATCGACCTCATCAATGTGGCCTTTGAGAATCCGAGGGTCGTCGCCCATTTGGCGCCCGAAAAGAAGGGCGACATCTACGAAGCCTGCCCCGACCGCGTGACGGGCCGCGCGTCGCTGGCCGAATTGGAGCGAGCCTGTCCACAGAGGGCCTGGCGGTTCGTGGCCGTCAACGTCCCCTACGCCGAGACCGTGGCACACCGCCCCGAGATTGTCGCGCTCATGCACCCGCACAACACGGAGATGGACCTGTCGATTGCGTCGGCCCTGTACTTTGCATCGAGGGCCGGCGTCGACGACAACAACGACGACAACGACGACAACGATGACGACAACAACGACAACGGAACATCGGCGCGCGTGCTAGTGTCTGGCCTTGGCGCCGACGAACTGTTTGGGGGGTATGGACGACATGCTGTTGCTTTTGGGAGAGACGGCAGCGGCAACAGCGGCGGCGGCGGCTACGGTGCTCTGGCCAGAGAACTCTTGCTCGACATGGCCCGCCTCGGCCGGCGCAACCTCGGCCGCGACGACCGCGTGCTGGCGCACTGGGGCCGCGAGGTGCGGTTCCCCTTTTTGGACGACGGGCTGGTGCCGTGGGCCCTGGCGCTGCCGGTGTGGGCCAAGTGCGATTTTGCCAACCGGGCAGCAAGTGGCGACGACGTCGAAAGCGACGTTGAGCCCGCGAAGCGGGTGCTGCGTCTCGTGGCCCTGTCGCTGGGAATGCCCAATGTGGCGCGAGAGAAGAAGCGGGCCGTATGTCTACGTTCCCCTACCGGTGCCAACCAAGAGACTGTGCTAACGTTGTCAGATCCAATTCGGCGCGCGGACGGCCAAGATGGAGAGCGGACGCGTCAAAGGGACGGCCTTGGTGGTGTAGGAGGGCTGGCGATGGCGCAAGAAGGATGATACCCAGTTCCGCCAGCGAACGGCAGTGATGATAACCAGATACTTCCGAGGCATGAAAGCGGAGACAGGCAGCCGTCGTCTTTGGACGTGGGCGTGGTGCTGTGCTGTTGTGTCTGTGGACAGACTCGTGGTGTCTTTCTTTCGTGGACGAACGTCTTGACAGAAGAAACCCTTGCTCTTGTCCATGGCACACTGCATCAGCAACCGCCTCGGCCAAACTGACCGGCTCTGTCCATTGCATGGCCTGACCATGTCCGCCGCCGATGACGTCGTAAAAGGCAAGTCTGAGCCGCTCGTTGTAGTTTTTCATCACACTGTAATATCAGCATGTAGACTGGGATCTTTGCATCTTTGATACCCAATGGCGACAATAGACTTCAAATAGACTTTTGACTTTGTAACTTCATTCTTCTTTCAGCTGAATTTGCTCTAATTGGTATTATCGTATTACATACTTGTCATCTCTACGACGACATTGCTTCTGTGGTAGTATAGTAGTACTCGTAAAGCATACTCCTGTCCGTACGTCCTTCTGTCCCATGGGTATAAATGTGTTTGTTGTGTCCAGCCGCCCGTCCACATCTCCTCCTCCCGACATCCTCCCGACATCCTCCTACAGCACCAGCACCGGCTGCCCGTTTTCCATTATTTTGCGTCCCCCGCTAAATACCATCGAGCTGAAACTCGCGTGGTCGTTGCTGTCGACCAGCGCGTCGCCGCCCGTGTTGTCCTGGCCGGCGTTGTCGCCGTTCGTGGACGCCGTCGACGGCAGCCAGTCGGGCCCCAGACGAGCGTACAGGCCTTGTCCCGGCTTCGGCCATCCAGCCATCAGTCCTGTCGGGTCTTCTTCGTCGGGGTCGATGGGCGTGGGCACAAAGGCAGGGATGTGGGCGGGGTCGACCAGGCGGGGACGTGTAGGACGTGCCGTCTGGGCGGCCTGGCCGGCCTGGCCAGCCAGGGGCGTCTGCGCCGTCGACACCGCCGTCGACACCACAGTAGACACCGCAGTCGACGGCTCCTGCGGCAGCAGCAGCAGCCGCTCGTCCTCGACTTGCCGCACCTTGGGTGGGCGCCCCCGCTTGCGCTTCACCGGCAGCCCCGCGGCGATGCGCGCGGCGCGCTCGGCGGCTTCGGCGGCGGCGACAAAGTCTCTGTGCTTGTGGCGCAGCGACTTGATGACGCTCTGGCGGAAGGTCGGGCTCGTACTGGTCGCCTTGTAGACGGCGCTCATCGCGACGCGGCCGCTGGCAGGCAAGGACGGCAAGGGCGGCAAGAAGCCGCGCGGCGGTCGACCGGGGCCACGTCGGGGGCCGCTTCCTTGTGCGCCTCGGCTCGCGTGGCTAGACGCGTGGCCAGACGCTCGGCCCGCCATCGCTGCCGTCGCTGCCGTCGGTTGTGCATCCACCTTGGGCGTCGGCGGCATCGGCGGCAGCGGCGGGTAGACCGCCAGGTCCGGATGCTGGGCCATGGCGTACAACAGCCACGCCTGCAGGTCGGGCCGCGCGAGGCGGGCCAGGTATGCGCGGCGCTGCTGCGGGGTGCGGCGGCTCAGGTCGTGGTGCGTGGGTGGCGGCGGCCGAGCCGGGACATGGAGCGCGTCGGGCGGGCGTTCCGCACAGGCACGACGGGCGAGGCGTTCCGTGTGCCGGGCGGCGGCCGCGGCCGTACAGGCCGGGCAGGACCAGCCAGAGGAAGGGACGGCACCAGCAGCGGCTGCGCCAGCCGTGTCTGGTATGCGCGTTTCCACGCCATTGCCGCTGCCGTCGACGCCGTTTTCGTTTTCCAGTACCCCGTTCGCGGTCACGGTCCCAGCGTTGGCCCCCGCTGCTGCTGCCGCAGCCACGTGGTCGGCAATCACTGGATCGTGGCACAGGCGGTGCCAGCGCCGACGGCATCCGCAGCACGACACGAGCGGGTTGAGAGTCGAGCGCGCCGGCCGCTCACACACCGTACACACTGGTTTCCGAGCCGCCGCCGCACACACACCCGACGAGACGGAGCCGGCATACGAGCTGGCACGGGACGGTGGCGACGATGGCGCGGGCGAGGCCAGCATCATCACGGCGGTGTTGTTGATGTTCGTGATGTTGTCGCCGTCGTGGCCGCCCCGGCGCCGACCGCGTTTCTTGCGCACCGGCATGGGCATCGTGCGCGGCTCGGCCTCGCTGGGCGGCGTTGCGGAACCACCGACGACAATCGACGTGGGATCGTGCTCGGCGATGCTGTTGCCATCGACGTCGTCATGGCGGCTTGTGCGGAAGCGCTCGAGAATGGCCTGCGCGGCCGCGGACGAGAATTGGGGCGTGTAGCTGCGGCGGCTGCGGCTGGCGGGCGTCGGTGGTGTCAAGAGAGACGACGAGGCGAGCGGCTGTGCAGGGGGCGTCGACAGGAGTTGGCGATGGTCGTCCAAGTGCATCATGTCGATCGCGCCCTTGAGCAAATGAGGTCCATGTGGACTGGGTTGATCTAGGGTGCTTTCTTTTCCTCGGCCCTCTCCCTCTTGCGCGTCTACATCCATCATGATGACATGGGGGTGGGCCTGTGTGGTGGTAAGAAAACAAAGGTAAAACGAATGTGATGTGCGATCAACAAGAAAAGGTAAATAAAGCTGGCGAGCTTTGATGGGACGAGGCAAGGACGTCGTAGCGTCAATTCCACTGGAAATGGAAGTCGTTACGACGCGATTGCAGGGCCCACTTTTTTACCGCATGCGATTGAGGAAGGAAATGCGCTGAGACGCATCTGTCAGCCTCGTGAAAGTGACCTCACATTTGGTCCATTTGGCCCCACGTAGTGTTTGTCTCATTGTTCTGCTGTTTATGCGTAAAATATAGTTGTTTTTTTCTTTTGTTTTTATTTCATTTTATTTCATTTCATTTAAAATATAGTAGGATTTTTTTCTTTCGTTTTTATTTCGTTTTATTTCATTTTATTTCACTCTATTTTACTTTATTTTACTTTATTTTTCACGTATTTTTGTTTCTTCCTATCAAGTTATTCTATATGCATAACCACAACTAACACCAATCTCTCTTATCCGTTATTACCGTATTTTGTGCATTTACAACGAATTTACATTCTTCATCTACCTTCTAAGGCCTATCGTACATACATTGCGCGCCTCCTGCCTCTCGCCTCGTCCATTATTGCTCTCCCTTCTTGACCCCCCGCACGACACCGTTTGCCGCCAGGGCCGCAATCTGGTCGGCGCCGTAGCCCAGGTGCTCGCGCAGAATCTCCTCGGTGTGCTGGCCGAGAATGGGCGGTGCGAGGCGCACGACGGGCGGCGTCTCGGACAGTTTCATGGGCGAGTTGACGAGCTGCATGGGGCCGCAGTAGGGGTGGTCGACGTCGAGGACCATGCGGCGGGCGCGCGTGTGGTCGAGCTGCAGCGTGGTCTGGACGTCGTTGACGGAGGCGTAGGGCATGCCGGTGCCCTCGTAGACGGCCAGCCAGTGGGCGGTGGTCTGGGTGGCGGTGACGGCCTCAATGGCGCGTTCGAGGACGTCGCGGTGGGCGACGCGGTCGGCGTTGGTGAGGAAGCGGGCGTCGGTGGCCAGGTCGGGGCGGCCGATGCCCTGGCACAGAATCTGGAAGAGGCGGTCGTTGCCGCCGCCGAGGAGAATGTCGCCGTCGGCCGTGCGGAAGGACTTGTAGGGAACGATGGAGGCTGGCGAGTCAGTCATATGTTTATGTTTTTTTTTTTTTTTTACAAACAGTCTTCGAACACAGTCTTGGAACACAGTGTTGAAACAGTCTTGACTCACGATGTGCTGTCCCCCAGCGGCCACTGTCGGGCTGCTTGCTGATCAGACAGCTGCTGGCAATGTTGGCCAGCGTCGCCGTCTGGCAGTCGCTGAGCGACGCGTCAATGTGCTGCCCGCGCCCGGTGCGCGCGCGCGCCAGCAGCGCCGCCATGATGCTGCTGCTCGTGTAGAGGCCCGTGGTCAGGTCGGTGACGGCCACGCCCACCTTGACGGGCGTCTGGTCGCGCTCGCCAGTAATGTGCATGAGGCCAAACTCGGCCTCGACCATGACGTCGTAGCCCGCGCGGCTGGACGAGGGCCCGGTCTGGCCGTAGCCCGTGATGGACGCATAGATGAGCCTGGGGTTGAGCTGGTGGAGCGTCGGGAAGTCCAGGCCGTACTTGGCGAGGGTGCCCGGCAGGTAATTTTCGACGAGGATGTCGCACTGCGCCGCGAGCTTGTGCAGGATCGCGACGCCATCGGGATGCTGGAAGGAGAGGGCCAGGGACTTTTTGTTGCGGTTGGCCTGGCAAATGTCAGTAACGAGCACAACGAGGGAAAAAAGCGAACGCAGCGAGGCAGTAACGAGCACAACGAGGAAAAAAAAGCGAGTGCAGCGAGGCCTGTCATACCCCCAGGAAGTAGGCCGACTCGCCCGGCCCTGTCAGTCCCGACTCGGGCGTGTAGGCGGCATACGGCGGTCCCCAGGCACGCGTGTCGTCGCCGCGCACGGGGTGCTCAATCTTGATGACCTCGGCGCCCAGGTCGCCCAGAATCTGCGTGCAGTAGGGACCGGCCAGCACGCGCGTCATGTCGAGCACGCGGTAGCCGGCAAGGGGGAGGTTGCTGTTGTCGGTGGACGCCGATGCCGATGTCGGAGTCGCATTGGCGCGGCGGACTGTGCACGAGAGCGGCCGACTCGCGATGGTGACAACACAGCTGGGTCCACATAGTGACGGGTATGACGGGTGTGCCGGCGTCCGACGCAGAGCCGTCCGGGTCGTGGACAGTGGTCCCCATGGTCGACGTGCGATCTGAAGAAACATTGTGAGGCGTGGCCAAAGGAGAGTGTTGATCGAGGAGACAGAGTGGCGGGAAGCGAAAGCAGTGACGAGGACAGAAGACATAAAAGGAAGTGAGGACCAACACAAAACGCACAGAAAGGCAATCCTGTCTCAACACCGCTCGTCTCTTCTCCTCTCCCTTATGTACGCCCGATCGCCATCAAGCTATCGTGGCAAAAGAGACATCGACCTCGAAGCTCAAGTCCCCGCAATTGGCCGTTCTGCCCGCTAGATTCGGCTTAGTTCTGGGCGCAACACGGCGCTGCCCTGGCGCTAACGGCATGCAACTGCCCCTGGAGCCGCCGATTCGGGTAACTGGAAGGCCAATCTTAGTGGGTTGTAGTCGTACGACGGGCTTGGATCAGTGGGCTGCACTCTCTTGCTCTTTTGAGACAGCGAGTCCGGCCACCAAAGAGCGTCTCGCTGCGGGTTCTACGGATAAGATTGGCGCCGAGGAATAACAGTAACGAAGACTGGCGGGAGAGGACGGTGTTAGCCACTTGTCGAAATGGTTTCCGTAGAGTATTTGTCGGCTTCAGGTCCAAGATGTGACTTCGGACTGACTTCCGATTATGACTGTACCCTCTGTTAAAATTGATGGGAAGGTAAAGAAATTTGTTTAGTTAATAAATAAAAGGGAAACAATACCCGTTGGACAAAATACTGTTTTCGTCTATTGATAAAAAAATCACAAAGGGAAAAAAAAAAAAAAATCAAAAGAAAAACACATTTAGCAACTCCTCGTTTCGATCAAGGGACCTCCGGGTTATGAGCCCGGCGCGCTTCCGCTGCGCCAAGTTGCTTAGCTGTTTTGCTTGTGCAAAATCTAAGACTTATTTTCGTATGTGTAGATAGCGCGAATTTAATTGGGTCCATTTCAGTCTTGCTTTCCTACCTTTGTTTCCCCTGTGAGTCAACAACTATTTTCATACCATGCGTCACGTCTGTTCAAGTGGGCAAAAACTTCATATCGCAAATTGATATTTGTAAATTCAAATCCTCATACGTGTAGCTTCGATTCATCCTTCGTAATTCTTGTGTGTATGTATTGCGTCCTCAGTCTCGTCTGTTTCGTTCGCACTTTCCTTCGTGACTCAGCAGGCTGTACGTCGTACGTCGTACCTTTCTATTGTTACTCAACTGCAAACGCCGCCATCCCTCTTGCCCCTCTGCCCCTATTTCCTTCTTCGCCCTATTTTCTTTCCTTCTTCCATTTCTCCAGAAGCTCCTCCATCTCGACATTTTGTTGTGCCTTTGCCCGTGCGATGGCGTCGTCCAGCACACCCGCCCGCCGCTCTGCAACGCCTCGTTCGAGCATGAAGACAACCGACGCCGTGTTGCCCGCGTGTACGGCTGCCAGCAGCGGCGGGTCGTCTGCACAGCTGCCGTCGGGCAGCTGTGTGCTGCGGCTCAATGCCATGGGGTGCTCGTCGTCGGGGCCGCTTTTGTACCACGTCCCGGGCGACGTGTGGATGTCCATGCCGCCGATGTCGACCAGCACGCGCAGCACACCGTAGCCGGGGTTGTCTCGGTTTTTCTCGCCGACGCTCGCAGGCTCGATTGTGTTGCTGACGTTTGTGTTTGTCGCCCCAGCGCGTGACGCCGGAGGCCGTGCCGCGGCCATGGTCACCAGCGACTGCATCCCAGGCCACTTGGGCCGCGGCGGGATCCCATCATACACCTTCCGCGAGACCACCCCGAGAAAACGCGCCACCATGGCCGGCGTGCCGTCCTTGACCAGCGCGTCCAAGATCCAGCCCGTCACCGGCTGCGGGTCGAGGCCGCGGGCCAGCCAGTCGTCGAGAACAGCAAGAGCCCCGCCCGGGTCCGTGTGGCTCTGGACGGCGGCGGCGGCAATCGCGTGGCGGGCTTCTTCACTGTCGGGAGAACTCAACCCAACAGGCAATGTGTGTACGGCGTGATCGGTCCGCAGGGGTGGCGCCCATCCTGCGTTGGCCAAAAGTGCCCATGCCGCCGGGCCATAGTGCGGGTCATCCAACACGCCATCGCAACGGGGTGAACCACGAAATGCATCGGGGCCGACAGACTCGAAAAGAGTGGCCGCTGGTCGACAGCGGCCGTGCTTTTCTAAGAGGTCCCGCAGCATGTCCTTGTGGCGGTGCTTGAGCGCAACGGCGACAAGAATCTGGAGGAGAAGCGGCGTCGCCAGGGCGGACACACCCGCCTCTTCGGGCTCGGCCATGTACTCGTCGGCAAACCGGACGGAGTCATGGTCGGCCGTGATGCATCTTGTGAGTGTCGGGAGGAATTTGGTTGCTGTCCACATTGTTAACAACGATCCTGGGACGTACATAAACACTAGAAGAGCGCGGTCGGCTTACCCTCCGGCAAGACACAACCACCGGCGCTGGCGACGTGGATGGCTGCAGCTACGACATCCTCGTGGACGCGTTCAGCCAGGCCAATGTCAGCCGACTTGTCAACCGCTCCCGTCAACAGCCGTCGAAAGTACGTCTCGATGGTCGTGTCGCCGACGGGGTAGAGGTTGGGGATGTACCGGGGCCGGGCTGGTTGTTTCACCGACTGTGGAGATGCGGACGACCCGCCCGACGCCGTGGAATCCATTGTGGTGCCTCTGACGGACCCGCCCGAAAAGAGGTGGGCCTTGAGTTTACTTAGCATGCTGGGTCGATGCGAGACAGGTTCGTTTGCACTGTTTTTTTTCGTTTCGCATTTGCCGAGTCGTGTGTCGCTGCTGATTTCAAAGAGCTTTGGGTGTGGTCTAGCGGCCATTTTGAGGCTTGCCGCTAGCAGGGCTGCAGCCTCATTATTGTCGGCAAATAGAGAGGCTGCAGCCCCTAGCCAGGCCGACGCAGCTGAGGCAGAGTGTAGCATGTGGCAGAGGAGCCGTCGTGAACTCTTGCGCTTTGTGTCGTTGCGTTTGCGATTGTTGTGAGTCTATCTCTGCCTACTCATTATGTATCTACAGTCGAAGCTCAATACGCCGATTGGCAACTTCGTGCTAACAAAAGTAGCGAACCATCGTCAACATCATGTCGTTCACTCCCTCCGAACCCCAAGCCAACAAATTCTTCCCCTCTTTGCCCTCTGCCGTGTCTGCAAACACATATTCTCCTCATCTGCCACGCCTGCTCGCCATGGTCGCTTCGAACGCCGTCAGTAGTCTTCCTTATACGATTTCCTTTCTCTGTCCCTCTCCAATCTTTCATGAACTAAGATTACATTATTGAGACTTTTGTCTCCAAACGCCACGGGGTTCGTTCAGACGCTAAACAGGCATGTCGGCAGTGTATCGAGGTTACTCTGTCATTGATTTAGTATCAGGGTTTTCTTTTGCTCTTGTCATTTGTTCTTTTTTTCATATCGTATTGTGGCATTTGCTCGTCTCCCCTTCCTGCGAACTTCCCTATGTTCGCACCATTTGACTGGTGATTACAGTGATATAAAATCCCGGAACACGAGCGTCTACTGGTTACGCCTGGATGCGTTTGTGGCTGTGCTGCATAATGATGCCTCATTTTCCTCCACCAATTACCGTTCAGCATAAACGGCCGCCTTGGTTGGGCATACAAAATATGATATCCCAGGTGGGATTCTTCGTTCAGCCGCAAGAAGGCACTGGGCGGCAATGTTCCAGAAACAACCACAACGCGCAGTCCGATCACGACGATCTTGAAGCCTCACAACAAGACGGACAGCGCTTACAAACTCAGGTGCTACAACTCAAAGACTATGGCAAGCTCTAGCAACAGAATGCAAAGTTGGTGGCGGGACATAAAAGGCAGCAGACGGGGACGGCCTGAACGGGCAAATGGTCACCCGCAGCCTCCTCCGCCAAGGGCAACAACTACATCCAACATAAGCATGCCAAAGACGGCTTGGCCTCTCGTGTCGAGCACCAAGAGTCCCCCGCGAAGCAGTCGCTTTGGTACCGCGCATACGACGCCCTCAGAAAGACGAAGACACAGTTGGTGGAGGACTACGAGAAACTGCTCGCAGAGGAGGAGCAGACGGCTAGTACGTATCACCGACTGACACCTTGCAGTCGTATGCCACAGACACTGACCAAACGATATTACAGATTTATCTTTAAATAACGGGGCTCCCGCACAACCTAAGCCACTACATGATGTGACTTTCGGCCCCGACAGTCAGTCTCGCCAAGCACAACTAAACACGGTGATCGAGCAGGGTTTACGACGAGTTGAGGAGAGGAAAGCCAAATACACGATAGCTGGCCATGAGTTTGTCCTGAGGGATCAGGTTGCGCAGGCGGCGAAGTGGATGCTGTGGGCGAAAGACTGGGTCGGCAATGCCGTCCAGGCTTCACCGCAAGCTTCCATCGCGTGGGCCGGTGTTTGCCTTATCCTCCCGCTTCTCACAAACCCCACGACTGCAGCTGAAGCTAGGCGTGATGGATTTACTGATGTCACCGCCCGTATGCGGTACTACGTCGCGTTGGAGCCTCTGTTACGGCGGCTTGGCCAGAATACTTTGGTCGCCGAGACGGTGATGTCGGAAACCAACGGCCATCTCATCGACCTTTATCAACTTATTCTCGAGTTCCAGCTCTGCAGCGTCTTGCGGTTTTATCAAAGCCACGCCAAAACCTATGTTCATGACATGTTTTCATCGAAAGACTGGAAGCAGATGACACTCGACATCAAGGCGCGAGAGGAGGCCGTCAACAAAGATCTGAGCCAGATCAACGAGTTGGCAACGAGACAAGAACTTGAACTTCTGAACAAGACGAGTGCAGATGCACTCAAAGGCATGGAGGGTTTCCTATCGGTCTCGACGCAGCAATTGGCCGTCTTACAAGAGCAACTAGCAATACAACAAGACACCGTGCGCCAACAACTGTCCAACGAGCAGATGAAGTGTTTACAGCTGTTTTGTCTCACCGAAAACGATCACGACGCCACGTACGACTGGTACAAAGACCGCGTGGAAGACCGTATAAAAGGCACGTGTCAGTGGTTCCTCCAACACGCCCACTTCCAGAGGTGGCTGGCGCAGGAGTCAGGTCCACTACTGGTCTCAGCGGACCCTGGGTGTGGAAAATCGGTGCTGGCTAAGTACCTGATTGACACAGGGCTGGCGCAACAGCCAGGTACAATCTGTTACTTTTTCTTCAAAGACCAAGACCAGAACACGGCCCGCCAAGCGTTATGTGCTGTACTCCACCAGTTGTTCTCCCAAAAGCCGACACTGATTCAACATGCCATGGAGTTGTTCAAAAAACAGGGTTCAGCTCTAACCCAGTCCGACAAGTCGCTTTGGACGATCCTCGGAGATGCTGTACGAGATCCACATGCCGGATCTGTTACAATCGTTCTAGACGCTCTAGACGAATGTGCCGAGTCGGAGTTTAAAGACTTAATACGGAATATGGAGAGTCTATTCCGTCTTACACAGTCGGCCAAAAATACAAAGTTAAAGTTTCTTTTAACAATCCGCCCGTACGAAAAACTCATAAACGAGTTCTCGGACTTGTTAGACGCTTTCCCGCAAATTCGTATACCAGGAGAGGATAAGTCGGAAACAATCAACCAAGAAGTCAACCTCGTCATCCAATACCGAGTCGAACAACTAGCGAGAAAACAACGGCTTTCAGACAAGATCAAGTCCTCTCTGGAAAAAAGGTTGCTTGAAATTGAGCACCGTACATACCTCTGGGTTTACCTTGTGTTCGACTATTTAGAGACAGGCTTTAAAAAGACATTAAAGGGAGTCCAGGCTGCTTTTCAAACTCTACCAAAGAGTGTCGACCAGGCATACGAGCGAATTCTGAATAAGTCCAGGGACGACCCAATGGTCAAGAAAGTCTTGAGTATCCTTTTGGTAGCAAGTCGGCCATTAACGCTCGCGGAAATGAACGTTACTACGAAAATAATCGGCCAAGGACAGTCATTCCGCGACCTCGAATTTGAGGAAGAAGCAGACTTCAAATCACGTCTCCGAACGTGGTGTGGACTGTTTATCTCCATTCATCACGGCAAGGTTTACTTTCTTCACCAAACTGCCCGGGCGTTCCTTATAGAGTCGTCATCTACAGCAGCTTCGCCAGAGCTACGATGGCATCACTCTATCACCACCCGTCATGCACACACTGTTCTTGCCGAGATTTGCGTGTTCTATCTGAACATGTTTCACTCCGAAGAAAGAGAGTCACCCAGTCATGATGTCCGTCACGGTGCCCTTTTACGTTACTCGGCCGAAAACTGGGCCGTTCATCTCAACAAGGCTGAAATTGAAAGTAACTCCGCGATGGTGACTCTCGCTCTCGGACTTTGTGACACAGATTTGACGAGTAATTCAGTCTGGTTCAACATTTACGCAGAGACTAAACCATGGAATACTCTTACGAGTTATACAACTCTTTTATTAGCGTCACATTTTGGACTGACTTACGTGGTAAAACTATTACTCGACAAGGGCGCCGACATCGACGCAAAGACTAAGACTGGTACGACTGCGATATTGTTTGCCGCCAGTAACGGTCACGAGGCCGTCGTACGGCTACTAATCGACAACGGTGCCGATATTGAGTCGAAGGATAATAATGGTCTAACGGTGTTATCGCGTGCCGCCGCATGGGGCCACGAGGCCATCGTACGGCTACTACTCGAAAAAGACGTCGATACCGAGTCGAAGGATATTGATGGTGTGACGGCGTTATCGTATACTACTTTATGGAGGGGTAACGAGGCTATCGTACAGTTACTACTCGATAAAGGTGTCGATATTAACGCAAAGAATAATCGTGGTTTGACGGCGTTGTCGTTTGCTAGTATGAGGGGTTACGAGGCCGTCGTACGACTACTACTCGATAACGGTGCCGATGTTAAGGCGAAGGATAATGATGGTATGACGGCAATGATGTTTGCCGTTAAGAATGGCCACGCGGCTATCATCGAACTGTTGGAATTGTATGGTGTCTAATTTGAATAATAAATGTAGTTATCCTGTAAGTAATATTACCTCTTTTTAAAATCATTTCGATTGAATTCTGTAAGGCTTTGACGGCGTCCATCAGTTTGGGTACGTGTTGTGCATCAGGTTGAGTCCCAGGTTGGCGTGTGGCCAACCATGGTGCTTCTCCGGATGTTCTGGTTGTGTTCTTTTTTTGGTAGATCTCTGGCTATGTCGGCTGTCGTATGGATACAGATGATGGAGCGAGATACCATCGACAAAAAGTATAGCCATAAGCATCTTCACATGTATTTATATTTGCTCGTACCAACGGGAGCTCCCTCAGTATAATCCAGACGGTGGCGTAATGTATCATTGATTCGGTGGTGCTGACTGTAATGTGTAGCGTGAGGTTGTTTATGTACCTAATAACACCGAACCCGAGTCAATAGCATCAAAAATTGCTTTATTGATGCCACCAAAATATGCGCGTGCCTTGCATCGCTTAGAAGATGCACAACGCATTGAATATGCACTTGTCCGATTTATTTATTATTCACCGAGGGCAATCGTGACTGCAAAAATGTGAAAATATAAAACAGCAATAGCAAAATGTCTCTCTTCTATCCTCTACTCATTGTTGCCCGACCCACGGCCAGCACCGGCACCAGCACCGGCACCGGCACCGGCACCACCAGCGCCGCTGCCGCGCATGAAGTCCCGCGCCAAGTTGGCAATGCTGGGGTCGGACATGAGCGCGGACAGGTCGGGCAGGCCGCCGCCGCCGCCAAACTGGCTCGCCAACTCGCGCACGCGCGGGTTGCCCAAGAGGCTGGCCATGCGCTCCGGGTTGTCCATGAAGTCCTGGGCCGCGGCCGCGAACATGGGGTTGTTCATGATGGACGCAAAGTCGGGGGCACCACCAGCGCCGCCGCCGGCACCGCCGCCCCCAAGCATGCTGGCCAGGTCGCCCAGGTTGGGCACGCCGCCAGCACCGGCGCCGCCACCCGCGCCGGGCGCGCTGGCCGACACGGCATCCCGGGACGACTGCTCCTCCTCCTCCGCCAGCTCGTCCACGCGCCGCTTGGCCGTCTCGTAGCCCTTCTTCATGGCATCGCTGCCGCCGTTGCCCTCGTAGGCAATGCCCTGCTGGTAGGCGTCCATGGCGCCGCGGGCGTCGCCCAGGGCAAACTTGGCGAGGCCCAGGCGGGACCAGGCCTTGGTGTAGTTGGGGTCGATGGCGACGGCGGCCTCAGCGTCGGTGCGCGCGCTGGCGTGGTCCTTGGCGGCCGAGTGGGCGGCGGCGCGGTTGGAGAGGTAGATGGCGTTGGTGGGGTGCAGGCCGAGCGCCTGGGTGTAGAGGGCAATGGCGGACGCGTAGTCCTTTTGGGCCATGGCGGCGTTGCCTTTGCTCTTGAGGCCTTCGGCTTCTTTTTTGGTGGCAGCGGAGGGTTCCACGGGAGTGGAGGGGGCGGCAGCGGCAGCACCAGCCGGCGCTGACGACGACGACGACGGCGCCGTGCTGGTGGCACCGCCGGCACCGCCTGCGCCGCGCAGCTTCTCATACACCGCGTAAATCTTCTCCAGCGACTGCCCGCCCACCGCCTCCTTGACGGCCGCCTTGTCCGCCGGGTCCACCTTGAACGACTCGGCCACGCAGGTAATGGCCACCTCGACCGAATCGCGCTCGTCGGCGGCAATGGTGCCGTCAGATGCCGACGTCGACAAGAAGTCGCAAATGGCGAGCGCCAGGCGCTGTTTTGACGTGAGAGACTAGAGCTGTCAGTGCGGAGCACGTCGAGTGTAGAGGGACATAGCGAAGCGTAGCAAAGACTTACCATGTTGCGTGTGCGTATGTGTGGGTGTGTGGGTGTAAGGAGGAGTGGTTGAGAGGTGAGACGTTAAAGTCAAAGTCAAAGTGGTGATATTGCTTTGGTGTCAACAACCTATCTTTACGCTGTGCATCGCACCTGCCACCATCGAAACCGACAGCACCTCGCAGAAGCCCAACCCAATGCACAGGGAAAGAGCACCTGCTAGCGTCTTACCGTTTTGGAGGGGTCGTTTTGGCGGTAGTGGAAGGCTCGGCAGGGGTCCACTTTTTACTGGACAGACGTTGCGCTGTGCACGTTCTGTGGCAGCCTGCTGGTGGCGGTTGCACGTGGATTCAGTACGTGTACAATGCACAGTGCATACTGTAAGGGCACCGTACGAATACTGTACGAGCTTCCCCAGCTTTGGGCGTGAGAATAATCGCTGTTGGCAGTAGCACCAACAAGCACAAGATCGCCAACACGACCAAAGCACAACATACCGAGGTCGGATTCTACGGCCGTGCCTCTGCGTGATCAAACGACTCGAGCAGCCTCAAGTTTTTTCTCGCTGGCGAGACACTGACTTGCGCTGAGTGGTGACTGTCTCGACGTTCTACCGACCTTCAGCCTTCATTCCAACGTACGCCTCTTCCTCGTACTCTTCGTCTTCCTTCGTCACCGCCTCCTCACAGCACCATGGTCTCCGCCGAGACGACGGGGACCACCCCCGGGGACGACGCCGACGAAAAGTCCTGCTTCATCTGCCTGCAGACGGCCGCCGAAACGCCCGACGCCGCCTGGGTCACGCCCTGCCCGTGCTCCCTCGACGCGCACGAAGACTGCATGCTGCAGTGGATCGCCGAGACCGAGGTGACGCTCAAGCAGGGCGCCAACCGCGGCAAGAAGCTGCGGTGCCCGGCCTGCAACGCGCGCATCCGCACCGTCGAGCCGCACGACGCGCTCGTGGCCCTGGGCGACCGCGCCGTCCGCGCGTACCAGCACACGGCCCCGGCGCTGCTGGGCACGATGCTCATGGGCATGGGCGTGGTCGGCTCGAGCTTCTACGGGTACCACTCCATGGCCGCGTTTGCCGGCGAGGGCGAGACCATGGCGTGGCTCCTGTCCAGCTTTGAAGACGCGGCGGCGGACGTGTTGGCGGCGGCGGCGGCCGGGGGCCACCAGCGACCACCCGGCGCGCCCGTCGTGCCCGTCGTGCCCGTGGCCATCGGCTGGCGCGAAAGCATGTCGTTTGTCAACAAGGTCTTCTTGCTCAACCTCGTCGCGCCCAGCCTGCTGCTGCACCGCGCCGTGCCGAGCCTGGCCAACCTCATCGCCCTGCCCGTGTCGCTCGTCTACGGCGCGACGCTCGTGTCGCGCCACCACCTGCCGCGCTGGCCGCCGTCGCCGCGCTGGGCCGTCGTGGCCCTGCCCACGCTCAGCATTGCCTATGCGACGGCCTACTACGACCTCTTTGGCGGGCTGGAGCGGCGGCTGAACCGGGCCCTGCGCGGGCGGCCGGAGACGGACGAGGCGGAGAACCGTGGGCACGAGCTGCGGGCGCCGGCGGCCGGGAACGTGGCCGGGAACGCGGACGGAGACGACCAGCGCGGCGTCGTGGCCCGGCTGCGCCGCTTGGGTGCGCTCGTGGCCCAGCTCGCAGGCCACGACAATGACAACGGCGACAACGGGGAGGGACCGGGTCCAATGGGCCTGGAGGTGGCCGTGGACATTGTGGTCGAGGAGGTGGAGGAGGAGCCACAGGGCGACGACGACGACGACGACGACGGATGGGTGGATGACGACGACGACAACGAGATCTTGCCACCGAGGGTGGTCCGCGACGACGACCTGAATATACTGGGCGATGTGGGCCATGTGGGCGGTGGGAACCACAACGACAACGACGACGACGACGACGTTGCCTTGCCACCACCGGACATTCTACGGGCGCGGCTGGGCGTGGCTGCAGATGCCGACCACGGCGCTGGCGACCTCGGTGCGGCCCATGGGGCCAATGGGGACGCCATCCCACTCGCCGAGGCCCTGGCCGCGCAGGTGGCCGACGCCAACGGTCCCGTGCCGGCAGCAGAGGCGCCTCCTCCTCCTGCGCATGCTGGCGGCGGTGGAGGCGGCGGAGGCGGTGCAGGCGGCGGCATGTTTGTCTCGGACATTCTGGCCGCCATCACGACCCAGCTGCTGCTGCCGCGCTTCGCCGCCACCATTGGCATGCTTCTGGGCCATGTCTTGCCGCGCAAATGGGTCACGCCGGCGGCGGCGTTGCAGACGACGGTGCGCGGCGGTGGTCGTCCTGGCGGTGGAGGGCTCTTGACCCAGAGATGGGGCCGCAGCTTGGTGGGCGGGCTGCTGTGGATCGTCTTGCGGGATGCGTGGACGCTGTACATCAAGTACCGCCGGGTGCAGGTCAAGAAGCAGCGCAAGATCAAGAATGTGGACAGAAAGCGGCCCAAGGATGCGGCGACCCAGTCGTAGACGGGGGTCTGCATGTACGATAGATGATGAATAACGTTCTTCACTTGTAACTTTTATGCTAAACAGGACGACGTTCGCCTTCTCCATCAGTTCACACCACGCCCCACGTAAATGGCACTCCCGCTGCCCGGCCGGCTCAGCACCACGGCGGCCGCCCGCTGCTCGTCCGTCAGCTCGGGCCGCTTGCTGTAGTACTCGTCGTCCCACGCCTTGCGGACGGCGTCCACCTTGTTCGCCGGCACCAGGTGCACGCTGCACCCGCCCCAGCCGGCGCCCGTCACGCGGCTGCCGAGGCTGCCGGCGCGGCGCGCAATCGCGCACAGGTCGTCGAGCTCGGGACAGCTGCACTCGTAGAGGTCGCGGCAGCTGTCTTGGGTGGCGTTGAGCAGGGCGCCCAGCGTCGCCGCCGTCGACGCATCCACAATGCCGTGGCCGGCCGCGCCACGCGCGGCCTCCAGCACCTCCATAAAGTCGAGCACCCGCAGCGCCTCGCTGAAGACGTGCAGGGCGCGCTGCCGCAGCTTGAAGCGCTCGGCGCGCACAGGGAACGTGCTCATATAGTCCGTTTCAAGCGAAGCCACCGTCACGCCGAGCGTAGACGCAATCTCCTCCCGCGTGTACCCTTGCTCGGAGGCCAAATGCTTGTCGACCAGCGCGACGAGGGCCTGCAGCTGCGCTTTGGGCGACCGCGGCGTGTTTGGCACGCCGCCCTGCTCCTGCAGCGCAAAGTACGTCTCGTGGAACCCGTGCAGGCTGATGCCGAGGGGCGCGCTGTCGCCGGGCAGGCGCGTGCCGGGCGGGTTGAGGCGGGCGTTGAGCACGGCCGCCGCCAGGGTGCACTCGACGACGCGCAGGTTGTAGTGGATCGGGCCCGTCACAAACTTGTCGGCGGCCACAAACGACTGGGCAATCAAGAAGCAGAGCTCCGTGTCGGGCGACGCCGCCGCCGGGAAGAAGACGGGGCGCGCCGTCAGCGTCGGCGCAAAGCTCACAAACAGCGCCGCCCCGCGCTCCGCAAACACCGACGCCGCCTGGTCCATGCCGCCCGAGTTGACGCCCACGCTGCGCTCGCTGACAATCGCCAGCTCCGTCAGCGCCGTCTTGTCAATGTTTTTCTTATTGTCGTCGTCGTTGGCCGCCAGCACCGCCAGCGCGCTGCAGCTCGTAAACGCCGCGCTCGAGCTCAGCCCGCCGCCCACCGGCACCGTCCCGTCCAGCACCACCTGCAGGCTGCGCGGACGCAGCGGCGGCAGGCCGGCCGCCGCCCGCTTCGTGCGCAGCAGCGCCAGAGCGCCCCGCAGGCCCGACTTGAAGTAGTTGGTCCACTCGTGCACGCTCGCGTCAATGGCCACCTCGTCGTCCGCCGCAAACGTAAACGTCTGGGCCGCAAACTTGGGCAGCACGTTGCTGATCTCCACCGTCCATGTTGTATCCTCGCTTCGCTCGCTGCTGTCCTTGTTCTTGTCCTCGCTCATGCCCACCGCAATGATGCAGTCCCCCGTAATCGCCATCGGCAGCACGCTGTACAGCGAGTAGTCAATGTGCTCGCCAATCACATTCACCCGCCCCGGACTGCGCGCCACAAACGCGGCCTCCCGGCCGTGTCTTTCCCGGAATGTCGCCAGCAGATGCTGCCATCGCGTCGTCTGGGCGGGCACGGCATCCTCGGTGTAGATCTGGCCGAGCCGGTCGATGACGGGAACGGTGGTCATGGTGGGTGTTGAGCGGGGGGGAGGGGGCGTATGTTGTCAGGCAGTAGGTATGGTAGAGGTGAGATGATGGTTGCAGGAAGATGAAAAGAGGGAGACGGAGACAAAGCAAGGAATACGACAAAGAGAGCCTACATAGGAGAGCTCCTTCCTGGGAGAGCTCTCGGAACGCCCGTTGGGCCCACGTGAGCGCCTAAGACGAGTCGTTCCCAGAAGGGAAGGTTGCTTGCAGCACACGATCAGCGGGGAACAATGGGCCAACGTCATTCGGCTGTTCCGACCAGCAAAAAAATAAAAAAGAAACAGCTCAAATAGGGGTAGTATTAGTTACCCCGCGGCTTTTACAGCGTCTTTAGCGTATAAATCCAGAACATACTAAGTATCTTACAGGGCAGTACGGATGATCAGGGGCAACAGTTGGCGACAATAATCTCCCGCAACAAAAGAAACTGCAAATAATGAAAATGAAATAAATGTCGCTCAACTCCTCATGAATGCGGTATTTTGAGTGTCAGCAAACAGAGGCTAGACCATAGACCATTGACTGTGTGGCCCTCTTGGCGCTTCCTTGCTCCTTCCTCTCGCGGTGCCTCGGGGCATCTCTCGGACGAGATGCAGTCTCGGTCAGGTACCCACCGAGCCCTAGTCCACTAAAGAGAAGAGCGCGGAACGTCGGCCCACTCCACCATCACTATTCATATCAGGGCCTCACGGAGTACACACTGCCATCCCCTTACAAGCTGCCACTTCTTCTATTTCTCCTCGCTACGCTCATTGTCGTGTCCTCGCTACGCGCGCGCTCTCAGTCCCCAGGCCCAGTGCGTCCGTGGACTCGTCGCCAGCCGCCACATCGACGCCAGGTCCCCGGCCTGCTCGCCGGCCTCCACCACCAGCGCCTCCATCGCCTTGTGCGCAAACGCCACGGCGCACGCCTCCTCGGCAAAGAGCGCGCAGTTGAGCGCCGCGCGCGTGTAGGCCTGCTGGCCCACCAGCGTGTCGAGCCGTGCGTCCTCGTACAGGATGGCCAGCTCGATGCCGCTGTTGGCCGTCGTCGACGGGTCCCCGCGGTCGAGCCGCGCCCGGAGCGCCAGGATCTCCTGTGTCTGCTTGTCGCGCTCGGCGGCCGCCGTGTCGTTGTGGCACAGCGAGCACGCGCACGCGAACCCCCAGTCGCGCAGCCGCGCCTGCCGCTCGGCGCGGGACAGCAGCACCTCGACGTAGCTCACCGTCAACTCGTCGCCGGGCTGAATGTCGCGGACGGCCACGACGGTCTGCGTGATGCCGTGGACGTGGTAGTGGAGGCTGCGGCACGTTAGTCGTCACAGTAGTATCGAGGTGGGTACATGGAGCAGAAATGGGAGGACGTACTTTGGCCGGCAATCGTGGTTGAGGCGGGCCGCCGCCGGAAAACACCCCAAATGCCCCGTCGCCTCGTCACGCCCGCCGTCCAGAAACAGCCGGAAACAGTTGGTCTCGATGTTTGCGTACACCCCGCTGCCGCCCAAGTGCATCTGCCGCTGGAACCGCCGCCGGGCGGCCGCCGGCAGCCTCTGCGTGGCGGCCTCGTACAAGCCGTCCAGCTGCGCACCCGCCGCTTTGGCATGCGTCTCCCAGTGGACCAAGAGCGTCGGACCGTGCACCATCAGCTGGTCACCCCGGCGGATGGTGCTGTTGGCCACGAGGCCCAGGCCTTTGCCGGCCACGTAGGCCTCGTAAAACGGAGGCGGATCGGTGACGTGCGTCGTGGCAGCGGCGCCACGATGAGGTGGAAGACCGTCGAGCAGCGCCGCATTCTCGGCCGTCGTGACAACAGCGATGCCGCTGCCGCCGCCGTACAGCGAATCGGCGTACACACAGACATTGTCGACACAGCGGTGCGGGCCAGTCAGCTGCAGGGGACGGTCGTGTGGTCTCGAAATGGGATAAGACGGCGTCGTTGAAAATAGAGACAAGGGACAGGCGGCGACAGAGCCCACCACCGAGTAAAAGGCAAGTAGAAGGCGTATTGCTGTCATTGTGACGTTGTCATTCAGAAACAAGACAAAATTGCTTCTTTGAATTTTTATTCAATACTGGTACCATACGACACTCCGTTGTCTGTTTCAGCAACTGTGGCCATCTGGCTAAACAGCAGCGACGGCATAACTGATTGTGTGCCGTAGATGTGGAGTATTGGGGGAATAAAGCATATATTAATGTCCCAGCATCAATGCTAATCTCATGGAACGAGGGACTGAAGAAAGGTCATTGCCATGAATCACATGAAAATCAATAGAAAGCGAATAAAATAAATACTACAAATATACAGAGCATCGAGGCCCTGACCGAATTGTACAAATCATACAGACACAAATATTACATTCCGTTCACCCCAACCGCCAGGCCACTAAATCACCAGGTTTCATTATTGCTGCCATGGGCAGAGAGCAGGCCACAAGGTAGACGGGAGGTCAGTGTCATTGACCAAAGAAAGAAACCATAACAAAAAAACAGATCCTCCAAACTCCGGCTCCATACTCCCGTCGTTTCCCCCGTTTCACCCCGTTCACCCGTTTCCACAAGTCCATCCCCATCCACGTCTCGCCTCGGCGTCTCGTTTTTGCCTACAGCAGAATGACATCGTTGACGTGCAGCATTTTTGTCCACCGCGGCAGCTTGCGGTCCCGCTCGTACAGGTAGCCGCAGTTGTTGCACAGCGACCGCGGGCCGTGGGGGCCGTCCCGCACCGCCCACACGCTCGTGCCCCAGACCCGGCAGTGGGCGCACCGCCACGACGTGCGCTCGCTGTCGGTCAGCGTGCCGCCGCCGCCGCCATAGCCACCGCTGCCACCGCTGCCGACGTCCGGTGTTGCCCGTCCTGGCGTCCCACCCCGCCCCAGCGGCGACAGGCTGCGGAACCGCCGCTTCTTCTTGGTGCGCTCGCCGCGGCCCATGCGCTCTTCTTCCTCGACCAGCGCGCCAAACCCGGCGGGCAGCCCGCCCGCCATCCCCGTGTTGCTGCTGAACCGCGCCGTCTCCCGCCGCAGCCGCCGCAGCTGTCGCTCCCGGTCGTACTCGCGCTTCTCGATGTCTTCCTTGCTCAGAATCTCCACCTTGGGCTCCCAGGCGTCGCCCAGCGTGTCCGGATCATAGCGCCACCCGCCGACGCCCCCGCTCCCGTCGTCCTCGTCACCGCCAAGGCCACCACCGCCGGCCGCATGGCCCAGCGCCGCATCGTTGGGGAAATCCGACGGCAGGCCGCCGCCCACCAGCCCGCCCGACTCGCACGCCTCCTTTTTTAACCGCAGTACGGCCTCGTAGATGGCGTGCGTCATGGCCGGCACCCACTCGCCCGCCAGGCCCAGGTCCGCGCACGTCTGCCGCGCAAACGCCTCCGCCGTGCCCGGCGGGTGCAGCAGTGACCACTCAAACTTGTCCGTGTAGAGCCGCGACGCCAGGTTGATGTTGAGGTTCACAATGCACCGGTACGTGTCGTCGGGGTTGTAGTCGTCCGCGTCTGGCTCGATGGCTTCCGCCACGGCCGTCACGGGGGGCGGCGCCGGCGTGCTGTGGCCCCCCAGCCGTGACGGCGTGTCGGCGCGGCTCAACGACAGGTGGGGGGTGCCGGCGGCGGGTGTGGCTGAGTCGCGTTGTGTTGGTTGCGGTGCCTGTGGCGCCTGTGCGTGTGTCTTGCTGGCCGACGACGCATGGGAGTGGAACAGCGGGTGCAGCGCCACGCCCGCATACTCCTCGAGCTGCGTGCGGATCTGCTTGCTGATCTCGGCCGCCACCGTGCTGCGCACCGGCAAGTCGAGGTCCTGCGTCAGCGTAATCGCAAACTGGTCCGTCGTAATCAGCGTCTCGTGCAGGTTCCACAGAAACGTGTCCTTGAGCCGGAACGGGATCGTCGCCTCGCCCGGCTGCCGGTTCAGCGGGTTCGTCATGTCGTACTGCGCCAGCACCGACGCGTGTGCGCCCGGCGGCGGGCCAATCGGCGGGCCGAGGGGCGCCATCGGCAGGTAGGGGGGGATCTCCACGTCGATGCGGATCGGAATCAGCGTCGAGGGCAGGCAGGCCTGTGCATAGTTGGCCAGGTCCGACCGCGGCACCCGCGTCTTGCCCTGCCAGTCGCGCCACACCCCCTGCACTTCCACGGGCCCATCCGCGTCCTTGATGCGGTCCGCCGGCTCGCCTGGTGTGGATGTGCCCGGGGCCCCGGATCCAGGACCGCCCGGTGTCCCTGTCGGCGTCCCCCGCAGCCGCAGACTGGACGGACGCCGCCGCGAGTCGTCGTCGTCGTCGTCCAGGTAGTCGTCGAAGCCGTCTTCGGCGTAGTTGATGATGGTCGTGCCGCGCTTGGTCGTCTTGGGCGCGGCCGGTGCGCTCGGGTTGACGGGCACAAGCAGCGCGTTGTGGTACGCGCGCAGGCGCGCCGCGTACGACGACCAGTACGCCTGTGGTGCCGCCGATGTTGCCGACGGCACAGGCGGTGCTGTGCCGGCCATTGTGTCGGGAAAAGGACAGGAGATGTGGTGCCGATTATCGCATCAAGGGAGGAGAGGAAAGGTAGATAAAGTGTTGTTGTCGTTGATAAGGACACTCGAGTGAAGCTGGAGCTAATGTCGCGATTCAAGATGCGGATGGTATGTCGATACGAGAAATGCAAAGGAAACGCCAGGGATGAATTGATGAAATGCGCAATGCAAGCCAATGCGGATTGAAGCACGCGCTGGTGATGTCGCCGCGGTTAATCGAGTTCGTTCTGCGCGTTGGCGAACCGATCTGTCTTGCAAAGAAACGTAGTCGTTTTGTGGAAGCTCCCTGTGTCGCGATGCAATGCAAAAAGACGTGCAGTTTCGCCGTAAGAAAACGACGCCGTCGCGTTTTGGAAATTTTGGGGCCAGGTCCGCGACGGGGGCACAGGTGGGGTCATGTGACTGTTACGATGACTAAGCGTGATCCTCCTTGGCGTTGCAGCTAGCTACATAATATGATGTACTCCGTACAACGCCCCTGACGCAGCCTTTTGTTTACCAGCGGCAAAGGTTGAAAAGGCAACAAGTGTTGGCTCGTTTGGCAGAAAGAGCCATGGCAGGGCTCGATACACGCTCCTGCCTTGCAAAAAGAGATGCGCAGTCGCAACGACCGTTTTGACGCAATTGCCGTTTTTGGCGCGAGGCACACAGCATGGTGCGAAAGAGGAAAGAGCGTCAGGCGACCTTGGTCGGCTGTTTCTGAGTCGTAGCTGCCTCACACGACCAAAACAGGACACAGAACAGGATGCTCAAGTGACGCCTTCCTGTTTTGATGGAACAGGCGAACATGCTGGTCAGATGCAGTGCACTGCCTGATGGGTTCCATCGCTGCTGTCTTTTGCCCCTTTTCTCCTGTTTACGTTGGCCATCGTCGTCGTCTTTTCATCCTCATTTCGTCTCTCTCCCTCAACTTCCATCCCATCTCCATCGTCCCATTTTCATTGTATCGTCAGACCCAACAAGACCAACAAAGACAAGAACCAAAAGGCAACTCGACACACGACAAGATGTCGTCCCCGAACGAGACGTTCCACGACTCTAACGAGCAGACGCCGCTGCTCGCTGACGCCAACGACACGACGGCAGGCCAGGCTGGGAAAGGGACTCAAAAGTCATTCTTGCCGTCCATCCTGCCCTGGCGCGGTCTTGCACACGGCCACTGCCGCCCTCCCAAGCCGCCGTCGACGCCTCCGCTCCCCGCGTCCGGTCCACCAGATGCATCGCCTGCCGCTTCTGGTGGCGGTCACAGCAGCACCGTCAACAGCAGCAAATCGAGTCGACTTGCAGACAGACCGTCGGATGGGCCTTTGGATGGCACCGATGGAACTGACAGCGCTCATGGCAGCCCCGGGGTCGTCGATGCGGTCGACGCTGTCAACTCTGCCACGTCTGGACCCTGGGGCGACCCGGCTGGCCTCGACATGCGTCGTGCCAATGACGAAAACGTCGTCCTGTTCCGCGAGGCCGTTGGCATTCCGACAGCGAGCACACGGCCCCCGACCCCGTCCGCAGACGCCAGCCACCGTCCAGCGCGGCATGACCCCGAATCTGGTGGTGTCCCCCCCGATTCCATGCCCACGGGCATCTATGCCCGCGTCATCAAGGAGAAGAAGGCCAAGATGTGGCAAGCCTCTGTGCTCAACGGCCTCCTGAACGCCTGCCACGTGGCCCAGATTTTGGTGGGTGCCGTGCTCACGACGCTCGGGCCCTCGGCGCAGGACCACACGGTGGCCATTACCGTGCTCGGGGCCACCAACACGGTCCTCGCCGGCGTGTTTGTGCTCATGAAGGGCCAGGGCTTGCCCGGCCGGCTCCGCAAAAATGCTGCGACGTTTCGGCGCGTGCAGGACTGGATCGAGGAGACGGACGCGCTGTTGGTGGCCGGTGTGGTTGGTCGTGATCGGCGCGACGTTGGCTCGCTCGTCGAGACGGCCTTTCAAAAGTACAACGCCGCCGTGGCCAATGACCAGGCCACGGGCTGGCAAGATCCGACCAAGCAACACCTCCCCGATGCGGCCAACGATGTTGTGGCCCGCGGCATGCCGTCGACGCCCGCACCTGTGCCCGTGCCCGCTGGAAATGGTGGTTCGGCCACAAGCTCTCCGGTCGTCCCGGCCTTGCCTGCTAGCAGCTCGCACGCCACCGAACACATGGACCAGGACGGAAACGCACACGGAACATCTGATGCGGCTGGTAGTGCCTCGAGCGAGTGAGGGTGCGACGACTAGTGCTTGGGGCGTTTTGCCCTATTGTGTGTAATGATACTGTTTCATTCATGTTACTTGTTTTCTACTTGTTCCTTTTTTTGCCCGTTGTCTCATTTTTGCCACTGCGTTCTTCCCATCATTGTTTTTACACCCTTGACATCCTTTAGACGAGCCGAGCCTTCATTTCGACTGGCGATGATACGTGTTGGCGACGGCCACTGTGTACGGAGCATGTTAGTCTTGGACCCACCAATAAACATTGATTTCCCATTCTATTTCGTTCACTGTCTTTTTTTCTGCATACGTATCTTTCTCAATGTACCTGTTTCTCTCACACTGTCAGAGGTGATATGTGTTTGGCCGCTTCGTCAGAATCGCACTACTTGCCAACACTAACAAAGTACACGACTACCCAATAGTCAGCGGCTCGCACCGTTAGTCAAGATCCTTTGAATATGACGATGCGGCCAACACTAACAAACTGTTTGCTTTGCTTACTGCTGATATTTTCAGAATGCGTCCTTGGGCAAATGCAATCACGGGCCTCCCAGGACAATCTCGTCTTCTCAATTTCAAACATGTCAAGCATGCACTCTCAAACTCTACGATGGAAGTTTCCCGGTTTTTCAACTTTTTCGGCCTCTTCCGCCTGTTTAAATCCAGGCAGTCGAGTGGCTCTGCAAAGTCTAGTCGCGTCTCCAATGATGCAAAGGCGGCAATGCTCGAACATGTAGAAGGCAGCCACCCCTCCAAACCACGTCCATCTATACAGAGTTCAAACCACGACCACAAGGATGATAGTGGATATCATTACCGCTTTCTGAAAAGGTATTTGGTCTCGAGCATCATAATGTGCCAGCTGTTATTTTCTTTCCAAACAACGGCAAACTTTGAAAAACAAATCTTCCGTTTATAACACCGCCATCTGCCAAACTCTGGACCGGCACAATGACCAAGCTTCGCTCTTTCAATGTCGAGTGCAAGGACGCAACACGCAACAAAAAGCATGACAGGGTTCAGTATCACGTTTGGTGTACTACCTGTGGGCCAGCTGTGGTCTGTGTGGTTGTCCTTGGACGCTTGGAGTTTCCAGGAAGTAAGTCGCCTTATCCTTCTTCTAATATTCTTGCCAGCCAATAAACTAACGCAGTGATACAGTGCCCTCCACTGACTTGGATGTACATTCCCACTCAGGGTCACGCACTACTGTGCCCAATCTCGCGGCCGGTTGTTCACAAGATATTCTCTGCGGAGGTTTCTGCTGGTGTTTATTGTGTGTTGTGGTGCTTCGTTTTGCAATGTCAGCTTCTACTGCTGTTTTTCTTTGTTGAATTTGCTGTGTCGTGTTGTCGTCTGTTTTGTCTTTCTGTTGTTGTCGGTGTCTTATTTTCGGTTCATCGAGTTGCACTGATCTTGTAGGGCATGTGGATGACTGACCCCTTCCACTGGTCACTGTATGCATGTCGGGCAAGCGAGTAATGTACTCTTGTACTCTTGTACATACAAACTACACTCTTCTACTCTTCTACTCATCAATCTTTTACACGTGATCGATGCTGGCTGACTCACCTTCTTCAATGTGCAAGCAGATACAAAGTTGACGTGACAACCGTTTCTCCCTTTGGTTTCTTCTTTCCTCCTTCTTCTCCTATCTTCTGCTACCGCCAGCTTCTAGCACGTTCTCGGCAATCACAACTTTCCAACATCACAACATCACAACATCACACATCACAACGTCACACATCACAATATCACAGCACTCGCAGCACTCGTAACACTCGCAACTACGACCATCGATCCGAGCCACGCCATCAAAATGCTGCTTCATGCGCCAGCAAATCCAACCCCCAGCTATCTCTTTGGCTTTCGTTTCCCGATCTACGTGCACGGTGTCCGGTTGACGCTTATTAGCATCATCTCATTCTTGTTTCCCGATTCCGTTCGTACTTGGTATGATCCGAAACCGGCCACCGAACGGAGGGCGAAGCGCGGCGCCACTGGTATTTATGCCGTTGCGGCCGTTCCAGATCTCGAGGCGGCTTCCACCGCCCACAGCACCACGTCTCCTACGACGCCCGCCACAGCCAACTACGACTCGCCCGACGGCTTTCGCGACTTTCTTGCTGGCACCGCGCTCGTGGTCCTCCAGCTCTGCGAGCTCGAGGTCGCCATCACCGTCTTTGTGCTGGTTCTCTGCTTCGAGATGGCGGTGCGGAACGCTGTTCTGTGGTGGCACGGCGGGACACAGTCGCTGAAGAGACGACCTTGGATAGACTGGTTCAATGGGTTTTGTATTTACATAATTGCTGTGGCGCGGATCTTGGCCATGGCCGAGCCCACTGTCATTTGTAAATATGACAAGAGCTGCCACGACGGCGTGTGAAGAGTCGCCATGCCGTGCTGTACAAGGATGGACAAGACGTTACTTTGCGGGAGTCAAGTCGATGTCTTGGTCCAAGCCAAGGTGGCATCGATGTGGTGATTCTGCTGGATGGAGACGTATTGTGATGGCGCTGAATGACGGTTGTGAACGAACCAGACCTGGTGTTTGCTTGTATGATTATGCTTGCTTTGTCCTTCCTTTTTATCTTTTAATTTCCATTTGTCTTCTACTTCTTCGATTAGCCAGCGTAAATAAGAACAAATTTCTACCTTTACCAACAATAAACAGTGTGATTAGCAAACGTCACTTTAATTTACTTTGCGCGAGATATCTACACTCTCCACGCATACAGAGCTCACACAAAATCGGTGACGAAACCTTCCCGTTTAAACCGAACCGGCGATGGTCCCTGCGTTGCCGCATCGCTTATGGGTAAGACTTGCATGTCAGACTGGCCGATCATCCCGTTTGCTGCCAATTATTGGCCTGTTTGGCCTGACTCGCCTGCGGAATTACACGCGCTGCCAAGAGCTAAACCCGATGCTCTAAATTTAAACCCCGCGGTGAGCCTTACTTGCACGACTGTCGGAGGACTTGGACCTCATTTACCTTTACTCTTTCAAAGCTCGTTTGAACCACGCTTGGCAATACACCGATACACTACCAACAGGTGCACACACACAGCCCACACGCAGTCTACACACTTGCATACAAGATGTCGTTCTCACCCATTCCCTCGTACGTCATTGGCACCATGTTCCTCGGCATCGGCGTCCTCTCCCTCGTCGCACCCGAGGCCGACTACGCCGTCTTTGGCCTGCCGCTGGAGGGCCAAGCCAAGGCCAAGACCGACGGTGCCGCCGCCTCGTCCACCACCGGCACCGCCTCGCCCATGGTCCTGGCCAAGGGCGCCCGCGACCTCGCCTTCGGCCTCACCTACGTGGCCCTCCAGTACCGCGGCCTCGACGAGGCCATCACCGTGTTTTCGGCCGTGCTGTGCATCGTCGCGCTGTCCGACGGCGCCATTGTCTGGCAGTACGGCGGGCCGGCGCTCAAGAGCAAGGCCTGGAGCCACTGGGGCGGGTTGGTGGCCTTCGCCGCCTGGGTGGCATGGCGGGCCGGTCTTTTCTAGGGGGCGAGACAGTATATGGAGTACGATGGAAATAATGGGTCAAATTGAACGTAGCTAAACAAGATGGATTGGCAATCAAGCAGTATGGAAACCAAGGGAACAATTTGAACGTGATTTGGAAAATGCAAAAGCAATGAAAACGCCCATTCGTCGCCCCTTCGTCGCCATTCGTCGCCCCTTTTTGGTTTTTCTTTTCTTTTTTGGTGTTTGTCACGACAGTTGCTGTTCTTCATGTGACAGCCAGCCTTCGTTTGCCGTCCCTCTAACCGTGCAGACCGCTCGTGCGCTCGCGCATCAGCTCTCGCCGCTTCTTGTCCGTGTCGGCGTCAAAGGCAATAAACTCGTGCAGGCCCGAGCCGGCCGGCACCATCGGCAGCACCGGCACCTTCTTGTCCGTAATCACCTCGAGCAGCGCGGGGCCGTCGGTGTTGATCAGCCACGTCAGGCTGTCGACGACGTCCTCGGGCTTGGCCACGCGCCGGTGCTGCACGCCCATGGCGTCGGCCAGCTTCTGGAAGTCGGGGTTCTTCTGGTGCGTGTGCGAGTAGCGGTCCTCGTAGAAGAGGTTCTGCCACTGCGTGACCATGCCCTGCTCCTCGTTGTTGAGCACAATCACCTTGACGCCAATGTTGAACTGCGCCGCCGTCGACAGCTCGGTCAGGGTCATGTTGAAGGACGCGTCGCCGTCAATGTCAATCACCAGCGCGTCCGGCCGCGCGACCTTGGCGCCAATGGCCGCCGGCAGGCCGAAGCCCATGGTGCCGAGGCCGCCCGACGTGATGAGCGTGCGCGGGTGGCGCCAGCGGAAGTGCTGCGCGGCCCACATCTGGTGCTGGCCGACGCCCGTCGTGATGAGCGTCTGTTCCTTGCGGTCGGCCGTCAGGTTGCTGAGCTCCTCGATGAGCGTCTGCGGCTTGATGAGCCCGGACCGCTCGGCGCGCTCGTACGCCGACAGCGGCCACTTGGCCTTCCACGCGCGGATGTCGCCGAACCAGTCGGCGCGCTCGTCCATGGTGCGCGCGTCGACCTGCGGCAGCAGGTGCCGCAGGTTGGCGGCCACGTCGCCCTCGACGGCCTCGGTCGCCTGCACGACCTTGTTGATGTTCTTGGGCATAATCTCAAAGTGCACGATGCCGCCGCGGCCCTCGGCGGCCGCCTGCTTGGCCGCCGGCGCAAACTTGCCAATGTTGAGCGTCACGCGGTCGTCGAAGCGCGCGCCCAGCGCAATGATGAGGTCCGCCGTCTGCATGGCCATGTTGGCGTACGCGGCGCCGTGCATGCCCAGCATGTGCAGCGACTTCTCGTCGAGCTCGTCAAAGGCGCCCAGCCCTTGCAGCGTCGTGGCCACGGGGATCGACGCCTTGTCGGACAGGGCGCGCAGCAGCTCGACGCCGCCCTCGCTGCAGATGACGCCGTGGCCCGCGTAGATGACGGGCCGCTTGGCGCGGTTCACGAGGTCGGCCACGCGGCCAATCGACTGCTTGAGCTGCTTGTCCGTCAGCGCCTGCATGGCGCGCGACGCCGCGCTCGGCATGGCCGGGATGTCGCAGTCGGTCGGGATGGCGCGCCGCAGCACGCCCGCCGTGATGTCCTTGGGCAGGTCCACCAGCACGGGGCCGGGCCGGCCCGACGTGGCAATCTCAAAGGCCTCGTTGATGCGCCGCGGCATCTCGGCCACGCTGCGCACCATGACGTTCCACTTGGTGCACGCGCGCGAGATGCCAATCACGTCCGCCTCCTGGAACGCGTCGCTGCCAATCGCCGCCGTCGTCACCTGGCCCGAGAACACCACCATGGGCGTGCCGTCGGCAAAGGCGTCCGCCATGGGCGTGATGACGTTGGTGGCGCCCGGCCCGGACGTCACCACCACCACGCCGGGTTTGCCCGACGCGCGCGCATAACCCTCGGCCATGTGGCCGGCGCCCTGCTCGTGCTTGGGCAACACAAAGTCAAAGTATTTCGAGTTGTGGATGGCGTCGAACACGGGCAGGATGGCGCCGCCGGGGTAGCCAAAGATGTGTTCGACCTTGTGCCGCAGCATCATTTCGTGGAAGATTTCGCCGCCCGTCATGCCGATGAACCTGAGGGGGAGTGGTGGTTAGCTGTGGCACTACGACAAGACGTGACAACGTTACGTTGCAACAACTGCAACGTGCACATGTGTACATGCGCACAAAGTACTTACGACTCGTCCATGACCGTCTTGCGAGGGTTCACCAGGGGCTGCACAATCTGGCCCTTTGGTGCATTGAAGCTCGCGCTGGGTGCCGGTCGTGGGTGCGCGGCCGCCGTCGCAGCCGTCGTCTGTTTCCGCGAACCGGTCGGCACGGTCTTGCTGGGCGTCACAGCCGCCGCAGCGGCCGATCTTGAAAAGGAGCGGGCATGGCGAGCATGTGAAGACGGCGCCTGGGCCACGGCTGTCCGCAGAGCCCGGGCGGTTGGTGCGGACCGCAGCATTGTGAGGGAGAAAGTCGAGCGAAGGAGTGGAGAGGGGTCGGTGAGGGTATCGCGATGGCGGTCGGTGAGTCGATGTCGTCCTGTGTTTGAGCCGATGGGGAGAGTCGAAGATGGAGAGACAAGGAAAGGAGAAAGAGAAGAGCGAAAAGAAATGGACAGCGGACGGCCCCAGAAAAGAGTCACCACTTGGGCTGTGGACTGTGACTGTGGACTGTGACTATGGACAGCGACTACTGTGTATGGATGCAGTTGCCAGCTGTGGATCGACGTGACACTCCGGTTCCGTGCTCCGTCGGAGGAAGTACAGAGTATGGGTGGTGAATTGGTGGTGAATTGATGTCCCAAAATATGTCCAAAAGAAAATCCCAAAAAGAGTCACTCCAAGCCAAAGGATTCACCGACGAACTGTTTTCGTCGTTTGCCCTTTCCTTTTCGTCTCTAAATTTTCGGTCTCTTCATCCCGGGGGGCAGGAGCGACGGATTTCGGAGGGCCCTCTTTCTGTGCTTGGACAGTCAAGGCCTGTCCAGTCTGTCTGTGACTCTTACCCTTTCCCCCCAGTTTTTCCCTTCCTGCCCTTCTTTCCCTCCTTTTAGTCCATTTTTTGTCGTCCTAATTTTTCCAATTGAACGTCCGCTTAGCCAATCACAGCGTCTCGAATCACGTACTGTGGGGCATCTCCAACGGAATCTCATGTCCACTGGCCAGGCCGACTCCGCTTTGGGCTATCCTGGGGGCGATATCGGGCCACGGAAGTAGGGAAGGTGTGAGGGGGACGCACCCAAGTCTTGCATCTGGAATTAGCGGGACAAATGTCACATGACAGTACAGGACATACATCGGTGTGATGGTGATTTTCGACACACGTGCCTGGCCATCAGCCGTTGAATTGACAGCCACGTTCAGCCACAGGCCGGCAAAAGAATGCACCATATTAGTGTCGGGGCAAAGGGTGTCAACATGTCCTTTTGTCAACTTTATGAATGTCTTTGAGTCTCGTTGCCGTGGTATATTCTGTGCCACATATCTGCTGGCCGTCGTATCATCACAATGGGGTGAGAACACTCACGAAATGGTTCTTCCAAAATAAATCAGTTTCCGAGCGTCTGCTTTGAAAATTATTAAGAGAAGTGTGTCGCATTGGTTTTTTTTTCTTGTAAAATTAAAAAATAATGAATAAATTAAAAATTAAAATTAAAATTAATATAAGACAAAACTACAGAGAGACATAGGGAGGAGGGAGAGGATGGAAACAACAAGTATCGATTCAAAACAGCCTTCCTTACTCTTGCTCCGACTCGGCGGCCAGACGGAACCAAGAATGCTGGAGAGCCTCGACAGCCGTAATCCTCCTCCAGGTTTATCATATTTGTTACAAAAATCCTTGGGCTCCGCATCCATGTAATGCGACACCAGTCAGCCCCAAACGTCAGGCACCCTAAGAAATGGATGCCGTAGGCACCCAGTGAGTATTGGGCTCTCTGCACCTATTGAACGCCTAATTTTCATTCGCCAGCCATACTTTACTCTCTACACAATGTCAAAACGTCTTTCTTCTCGTCGACGCCTACCTGTAAATCTCGTTACGTCCATTCATGTCCTTGAACATGGACAGTGTTCCAATTGGCAGTGATGCATGGACAAACGGGAAAGAGTACGGAGACGAAACAATCAAGTCTATCGACGCATTTCGGCAGATAATTGACGACGACGCTTTGTGTGGCCAAGCGTCGGCTTTGCGGGACAGCCGACCATGCTCCCTGTCTCGTCAATTTTCAGTGGGAAATTTCAACCTCGTTTTGAAAGTGACTTTTGATGACAGAGTGCAATGGATTGCGAGGTTACGGATGCCTCCACCGTCGCAAGTAGAGATGCCGACGGAAGAGCGACTTCGCGTGGCAAGAAAAGCCGAGTTCGAGACGCAGTCTGAAATTGCTACCATGGACTTTTTACGGTAGGCTGTATTTCGTACGCCGCCAGCCTCTTGTTGACTATGACTAACGAAGCTGAAGCAAAAACACGGATATTCCAATTCCTAACGTGTACGGGTATGAACTACGTACCGAAAACAGTGTCGATTGTGCCTTTTCCTTGCTCGAATACATACATGGCAATACAGCGAAAGACGTGTCAAAAAGCTATCCCGGTGACCATGAGGGCATCCCGCCCCAGTTTGAGACCAAGTTTTGGCGGCAGTTTGCCCATACTATGATACAGCTCGCGTCGATTCGGATGCCAAAGATTGCGTCGATTGTTTACGACGAGAAAAACACTGGCTCGTTCACGGTCGGCCCATTCGTCGAGACAGGAACAGGTCCTCAGGAATCCCCCGCCGAGTTTTATTCGTCCTATCCATTAGCATTGCACAAACAACTTGGCGAGGCAACCAGTGGCCAGAAAGAGGCCATTGACACCGTCCGGCGAATCGCATCAACATTGGCAGCGGCACAGACGGACACTCACGTTGGATTTGGGCTCGTAAACTACGACCTGAACGCGAACAATGTCCTCGTCGATCGAGACTTTAACATTGTTGCAGTGATTGACTGGGATTCTGTCATCTCAGCGCCGGATGCTGCGCTCAACCGATTTCCATTTTTAATGGGCATAGACCCTGCTGTGCCGGGGGCAGTGAAATCGCAGCTGCCCGCGATTGTTCGACGACAGGACTCGGCGCGACGATTCGCCGCAGTTGTCGAGGAAGTCGGGCACGAGCAACCCACCATTCTGACGACACGAGGGGGCATGAAACATGCAGCATTTACTTTCACCAAACAAGGATTTTTTACGAAAGAAGCAGTCGCAGTCCGCTCGCTCACATATGTTAAAATGAAACAAGACTGCGTCAATGATCAGTGGCGGGCAGGATTGGACTGGTTGGATGGGCAAGACGACAACGCGGTAGTTGATGTCTATCTTCGTGTTGCATAGTCTCTAGTATGAGGCTATTGAAAAGTTTTGGTATGCAGGATGTTAAGAGATATATACACCGTATTCTACCTAGTTTATGGTATTAGTGACGATACGTATGGTCGCGAAGTTGTTCTGTTTTTTAGTCTCTAAATGGGTTACATACCGTTACATATCCACTCTCCACTTTACGGCCCGCCATGTAAAGCGATCTTCATACGCTATTTTTAACATGTCGGGGCTAAAGTGTCTTGTAAGTAGGTGTTTTCCGGTTGTCGATCTAAATTCTACAGTATTTCTCAGTCTTCTGCCCCGATTCCGAATCGGCATCGCAGAACCAAGGATGCTTGAGAGCCTCGCGCGCCGTGATCCTCCTCGCCGGATCCAAGTTTGTCATTTTTGTCACCAAATCCCTGAGCTCCGCATCCACGTAATACCACATTGCGAACGGCCTTCTCGGCCGCTCGGCATCAAAGTCGCCCGCGACAGAAATGAGGCGGTCAAAAAACACATTGTCCTCTCCAATGTGCTTCAGCAGGCCCTTGAAGCCGTCCTCGTCTCCGAAGAAGGATATGTGTCTCCGGAAAATCGGCCACCAAGCAACATCGTCTCCACGTGGCCCTTTCTCACTCACGCGAAAGGTCATGTCATTGAGCATCACGTAGATGATGACCACACCAAACGAGAAGACATCAGACGGCGTGTTCTGCCGGGCACGCGTCCACGACTCAGGGCTTCGCCATAGCTGGTTTCCACAGAGGCAACCCTTGAGATTCTTACCAGGCGGGAGGAGTACTGCATCCTCTAAATCTGCAATCTGAACACTTTTAATGGAAAGATCGTCGCTGACCATCTCCTCATAGTCAAGAAGAATGTTGTTGGGTTTGATGTCTGGGACGACGTCAGCTCGGCTCTCAGTTCTCGAATCATCACCAGATAGCCGCTGGACCATGTATCCAGCTACGCAGAGTATTCCTCACCTGTGTGGACGATCCCTCGATCATGAAGCTCAGCCAGTCCAGTCAGGGCACTTCTGAGGATGCGTTTCCTCGTTTCCAGAGACATGGGCCTCTGGCTGATCTGGAGGAGGTCGTCGGCCAGAAAACGAAAGACGAACAGCTCGAAATCAGGGATGACGTCGATTACGGTCCGCAAGTTGGGACAAGAAGCCAAAGGTGTTTGCAGATCTTGCTGGTACTCGAACTCGCCCGGGATCATGTTTTTTACAATGAAGTTTTGTCCGTCATCACTTGGCATCGAATATTAGGAGCTCGATGTCCAAAACGTCGCCCAGGGTTATTCAGAACACAACACATGCCTCGCTCGGTAAACGCAGAGTAATGGATTTCGTCGTTCTGAAAGAACCTGCTGGATGCGGTATGTTCGGCCCGAGCGGCCGCGAAGAGCGGCACCGACTGAAAACGGCTCCGTTGTAGTCTGCGGCAGAGACGACACTGTCCGAGGACAAGGGAAGCGGCACGTTTTGATACTGCCGGTGCGGGTAGCAGAAGGAAATCTGAAGTTGTTTTGTGTATGGCGCAGGAAGATGGAAAGAGGCTTGTGAAGACTGGAAGCCATTCTTCGACCCAGCAGTGTCATGTTGGCCGTGACTGATGCTGGAACTGCGCAATGTACGGAGTACAATCGTCGTAAAGAAAAAAAATGTAAGAGAATCCAACAGCAGGCAGCGCCGATGCGCCAATGTGCCAATGTGCTGATGATGTCTCTTAAGATATCACATCTTAAGATATCACAGTTTCTCGGTTGCAACTGTCGTGGGGTGTTAGCGCCTGAGACTGTTCCTGGCGGGTATTGACCACTTTACCGCTGCTTTGTGTCAACATGCGCTAGCGTGTTAGTGGCAGCACTGTTGTATGTCAGTAGTCCGATCCAGTATTAACAGAACATGACTACTTTGGGCGACGTCGATTTTCACTGCAATGAGATTTAAATATGATATCGCGTCCGTCCATGGATGATTTGTGTAAAGGAACAAAAATTAAAAGTTTACCGAATTTGTCGTGTTGTGTCCCTGGATTGAAAGCCAAACAATATGAAACAGAATACGTCCAATAAATTCAAATAAAATCAACAAATGAGAGAAAAATCAGAAAATAAAACAAAAAAGCAAAATACGTTACAAATCCACCCAAAATCACCCAAAAATAACAAACAACAGTTTGCTTGACATGAAGAACACACATTCCCCACCGCCCATAACCTGCCACTACGTCTCTCTGCGTGGCCGTTAGTTACTGCCTGCATGGTCAGATTAGGTCGGAACGAGAGGAGGAGCAAATCAAAAGTACAAAAGGACAAAGCACAGGGGGGACGTACAGTAGGGCCAGTGTCAGGTCACCGTGGATGCGCGCCTTGAGCTCAATCTCAATCTCCAGGTTGAGATCCAGCCGCAGCCGCAGAGGGTTCTTGCTGCTGCCACCACCCTGCGGCTGCTGCTGCATTTGCTGCTGCTGCATCTGCTGCATCATGAGCTGCTGCTGCTGCTGCTGCTGCTGCTGCTGCTGCTGCTGCCGTTGTGCCAGCTGGTTGTCTTGGTCGTCTTGGTTGGTCCGCTGGGCCTGCTGCGGCCGGCGACGCCGCCGGGGCTGCAGCTGCCGGTCCTGTTGGTCGTCTTGCTGCTGCTGCTGCTGCAGGGGCTGCTCGTCCGTGGGCGTCGCAGGCTGCGAGGACGACGGCGTGGGTGCCTGCTGCGTGGTGGGCTGGGGCCGGCGGGGCTTGCGGCGGCGCTGGCGTTCCGGCTGAGGCTCGGGCTCGGGCTCGGGCTCAGGCTCGGGTTCCTCCTCTTGCTGAGGCTCTTCCCCGTCCTGCTCCTCACCACCTTCCAGCTCGGGCTCTTGGTCGTCGCCTTCACCCTCGTTCTCGTCGTAATCACCCTGGTCGTCGTCTTGCGGCTGTCCATCATCTCCTTCATCCTGGGGCTCATCCTGGGGCGCATCCTGCTCTTCCTGCTCTTCCTGCTGCTCGGGCTGCTCTTGCGGCGGCACATCCTCGTGCTCCTCGCCACGGTCGTTTGCGTTGCTCTTGCGCTGGACACTTTCGTTAATGAGTGTTGTGGTGGAGGACGGATTCGACAGCAACTTACCGGAGGCATGTCGATGACAGTCACGGAGTGTCAGTGGATTGATTATGGCTATGATTTGTCGAGGTCGATGTTGTCTCTTAACGGAAAATATGATGCAAGTTGATGAATGCAAGTTTGATGATAACTTAAACAGTGTAAGCTGACAAAACGATTTTGTGTGTTTTAACGTTTTGTTTTTGTCCTTTTTTCGGTCTGCGGCTGCCTCTTAAGTTTAATACTGACACTCTTGGCCAGTATGTTGTACAACGTAATTGGGATCTTGAAACTGGATAAACTACGTCCTATTGAGCAGGACTTTGCCGACCCCATAACCTGCTGTTGATCGACGATCCAGCGACCAGGGATGCTGTGGAGAACGACAGACAGGGGCGAGGGACGACGAAAGAGAGGCGAGAAGCACTAAAGAAGCTATGACGTCTGCTGGGAGACACCGGGCTAACAGGGTAGGACTGGCACTAAGAGTTGCTAGAGTGCTTGCAGGATATGTTGTGGGACGGCATGGATACGGAGATTGTCTTGTTTTCTTGCTTTGCAGCCACGCTTTGACTACTGAGTAGAGACATCTAGAACGACAAAGCGGAGTCAAACGACAGAAATAAAAAGTATGACGTTTGTGTAAAAGTGGATGGGGTGGCAGGGGGGTGTATAAAAAAAAATGGCCGGGGCGGAAGAGATGGCTGGAGATGATGAAGACGCTGAATGCTGAAGATGCTGCGGATGCTGAAGGCTGCAGATGGCTGCAATATGACGTCGTCGGTCAAGAACAGCCGTGGAAAGAATAAATGCTCTGCCAATATGGGCTTTCACGCCGTGGTTTCGTACAGGGGGTGTGCTTGGCTGTCTGAACTGGTGTGTTTGTTCCCTGGCTAAAATACTGCTGTGACAGGTTTACCGGGGTGGACTGGGGGGAATGGAGGATGGTGTGAAGGGAAAAAAAAAACCATAAAGAAACGGTGTAGTTAGCAATTTAAAAATAGGAACTGTTGGTCGATGATGGGGGTGGCGTGCATTTACGGCGGAAAAACAATCCAAGCAATCCAAACAAACCAGTTTTTTAAATCAAGGATTCTCCACAAACATACAACGTCTTGACAATAATACAAGTCAATACACAATACATCACCAGCGACATCACACAACCACCACATCCACCACAACCATGGTCATCGGCCTGCTCACCATAGCCGCCATCCCGAGCACCATTGGCGTCTGCGAGGCGCTGAGCGCGCAAAAGAAACAGAACGCCGCCGACAAGGAAAAGGCCAAGTTCACCGCCACGGCCGCCCTGTCGCTCGCCGGCGAGCCGCCCGCCGACGCCCCCGTCGTCCTGATCGGCGGCCGCCTGTTTCTCGACCACCCCGACGCCCGCGTCGCCTACGGCCGCGCGCATCCCTTTTCGGGCTACTACTTCAACTACCCGGGCGACACCCCGTGCCTCGGCCTCGTCAGCACCATTGCCGTCGACCCGCCCATGCTCAACTGGATCTACGCCGACAAGGACACGGGCCGGCTGCTGCACGCCGGGCGCAAAGACACCCTGGGCCACCGCGTGGGACCCTGGGGCTGGTCCGACGACGAGACGTGGCTGACGTACGAGGGCGACGCGACGCGGTTTGTGGCAGCCCAGGAGGAAATTGCCATTGGCGACGAGATCACGCCCGTCTGGGGCATCTACCTGCAGGACCCAGACGCCGACGAGGACGTGGCGGACGGCAGAGGCGTGCCCATCTTGATCCGGCGGTCGTTTGGGATGGAGAGCAAGTATGTGCGGGACAGCCAGCGCGAGAAGCATGGGTTAGAGAAGAGGTGAGGGTTGACGGTGTCGAACGGTCTATTTCCACTGTATTGTAGTCTATTTCCACTGCTTATGATGGCGTCAAGCATGGCGGCGTACTGGAGTTGGCATTTTACATTATTCGACAGTCTATTTTCATGTATGAATATGGCTCTTTTCTTCGTCCCACCCTCTCCACTCCACCCTCATAATTTACCCCAAACGCCGTGGGCCGTCTGTCGTCATACTTTGCACAGCGCCCCATCCTGCCCATGTGGTCTTTGTTTCATTTGTCTTGGCTCGGTTGGCAGGCGGTTAGCTTCCCCTGGCACAGTTGCATTGGCTTAGAAAGGCGAGGAAAGACACCAGACACCAGACACCAGACTCCAGACAACAGATACTCACGGGGACGCCCTCGTAGTCCTCTGTCCCACCTTGATTTCCCCAGCACTTGCCACCGGACAGGGGCAATGATTTCATCATTAAAGTTGGGGGGGGGTGGGGGGGTGTGAATGTAGACAAAGTATATCTGGACAACTCAAAATGTATCCAAGGATGCAGGCATGACATTATGACATCGTTGGACAAAGTTGGAATTGGAGTTGGACAGGGACTTGGTCTCGACATGGGCCTCAACATGATGGATATTCCCACAAACCAAGTTGGTGTCACTGTCGTCGGGTCTCCCGTATCATTCCGTTTTCTTTTTAACAAGCCGTCCATCCTCCTGTCGTGCTCGCCATTGTCCCAGCATATCATCTCTTCACATCGTCAAACAAAAAAGAACTTGACACAGAACTTTACACAAAACTTAACTTCAGATTCTTCATTACTGCTTCCTGCCTTGAGCCTCCACCAGCAGCACCTCCCTTCACCCCGTCACACAATTCAAAATGTCCAAGCGCCAGCAGCAGCAACAAACCGCCTACGAGTCCGAAGACGACTACTCGGACGACCAGTACGAGCCCGAGCCCGAGCCGGAACAGCAGCCGCCTGCCCGCCGGCGCCGTCCGCAGCGCCAGGCACAGCAGTCTCAGCAAGGCGGCCAGCAGCAGCGGCAGCAGGGCGGCGGCGGACCCCTCGACGGGACCCTCGACAACCTGGCCCTCGGCAACGTCGGCCAGACGGCCCAGGGCGTCGTCGGCGGCGTCACCAACACGCTGGGCGGCGTGGCGGGCGGCGCCCTCCAGCAGCAGGGCGGCGGTGAAGGCAAAAAGGGCAGCGACACGCTGCGGCTGCGGCTGGACCTGAATCTGGACATTGAAATTACCCTCAAGGCCAAGATCCACGGTGACCTCGAGCTGGCTCTTTTGTGAGTTCCTCCCTGGGTGGCAGACCCTGCAAGCCCTGTCCCCCCCTTCTTCCTTGACAATATGCTAACCATGTCCAGGGAGACATAATGGTGGAGACTTGATATGTGCGGAGTACTTGGTTATGTCGTTGCTGTTTCACTGAATGTTTATCTGCATACCTGCTTATTTGCTACTTGTCTACAACATACATTCCTTTGAATTGGACTCTGTTCTGTGTCGTAACACTCTGCATTCTCCTGTTGATCAGTACCCCTGTTTTTAGTTTGAGGGCAGACACTGTTCTGGATCCTTTCTTTTCTTTGTTTCCGCCGCCCCTACGGCAATCAATAGAATTTTGTGCCACTGCTAGTCGATCCAGAACCGAGATTGTCGATCGTAGAGTGCCCATGACCGTGCCAATCAACCGCGTTGTGTGTGCGAGTGCGACTTGCGGAGGAGCAAAATGCTCTCTCCTTTGTTGATTGACCCCATCTCCAGTGAGCCATTAACACGAAATAGCATCTGTGTGTACAGAGCATGTCGTACGTAACTCAAAAGACGCATCGACGATCTGGACAAAGAGCAGTGAGAGGTCACTGACCAACCAACGAATCGGACCAACGTAGAACACGACAGGGGCCGCTGTTTCGTCTCCAGTCCGCTGGCGACTGTCATTCACACGTCTTTGTTCGAGTGGGCCTTGTTTACAGGTGGCTGGCGACAGGTTACAGGCTACTGGCTAGTGATACAGGCACGCGGGTCATATGTGCAGGGCGCGAGGGGGCCTCGAGCGCCACTGACGTGTACAAATCCATTTCTGTTCGCTAACTGCTCGCTAATCGCCTGTTAGCTGCCCACCACTTGCCACCTGTCCGCTAATTTTACACTACTTGCCGCGCTACTGTCATATTTTTAGTGCGTGCGGCTCACTACAGGTACCCTTCTGTATCCTGTAACCATTCACAAAATACCTCTATTTTAACTTCTTTCTGTTCGACTTGTGCAATCGGCTCAACCTCACTAAGACAGGCGATGTCAGATGTTTGACAGGCCGAGACACCGGTCGCTCCCGTGGAGAAAGGGAGAGAAGGAACGCACCGTCTTTGACAGTGGCCCGACGCTTAGACGCAATCTTTTGACGGGCCAGTCTGGCACTGAACAGAACGACGTAATGGACACGGCCTCGCCGGTGATATTCTGTATTTTGCGCTTCCCGCTCCTGGCTGTCTTACCTCGTATTTTCCAATTATCCTCGGGGCAGATGCCCCGAGAAGGACTGCCAAAACGATGCTATGAGACTGAAACGGGACGGATAAAAGCGGCGTATTTCGACTGATTAGTTGACATAGTTGACAATAACACGGCAATAATGACAACGATACCTGGTGAGAATACTCCATCAATTGTTGTCAACTGCGACCCCAGCTATATCCACACCACCCTCAGAGGAGGGCCGAACGGCAGGCGAGTGTCGCATGGTAAAACGCTGAACCGCTGCCATCCCCCACACAACTTGTCCACAGTGACGTCAACGACTCGTGGTTAGTGCAACGTCAGGACGACAACGACGAGAGCATTTGCGGGACATTGGTATTCCTGGAAACACAAGACGAATAGACGAAACACGCCAAACGAAATGGCGTCGCGTGGTTCTGTCTTGTTCTCTCGCCTTCTGTCCAATTTTGTGCTTCTGCGCTGGCTGCCCTGAATGCCCTGAATGTGTCGACGACTCGAGAATCATCACCTCTGGACTACAACTTGAATCGTTGCATGTTGGACAGACAGACCGCAGACGAGCATAACTGTACCTGTAGGGCCTGTACTCTGTGGCCTCACTCGACACTGACATCACACGCCTGGACTACCTCCACGCAACTCAACTCAGGCTCTGTCCTCCCATCCTTGTTCTTTTCCTAATTACTGCTTCCCACAGCACCATCTTCTGCCGTCTTCCGACCGCAACCTCTCCAGCTACTACAAACCAACGTCTGCGGCAGGTACTCCGTCCGCTTGTCACTGTGGATCAGGTCAACCATCGGCCATCCTGTACATACCCCGAGACGGTACACTTTGCAGCAGTAGCTGGTCGTCCATTCTCCACGCGTTAACACTCCACGCAACCACACGCAACCACACGCAACAGCACTCACTCTAATCATGGCGTCCCGCAAGACACAGCCACAGCCACTACAGCATCGGCCGGCCGTCCCCAGTACAGACCACACGCCCGTCCACAGCCCTGTCCACGACCAGAGCCCAGTCGTTGAAGAGCTCTCTACAGACGACGACCACGACGACCACGACTACGACGATCCACCAGAAGAAGAAATTGTCGAGGACGAGCACGGCCGCAGTAAGCAGGGCCCCGTTCCGCTGTCGTCGCCATCACCATCCTCTTCCTCCCCGTCTGCGGCCCGCACCGGCGAGCCGCGTATCCAAACACACTTTCACGACCGCGGCAAGCAGCCGGCCTACGTCGCCCCCATCCCCAAGATTGGGCGCATTCCATCCCTCAGCCCCATTGCCACACCCAAGGACATACCCAAAGACACGCCCAAAGACACAGCGTCCCCCGACGCCGTCCCAGGCATCTCCAGCTATGGCCGCCCGACGCTGCCGCGCTTCCTGACCGCCCGCCTCGTCGGCAAGCCCATTGACGAGTACGGCGACGTCTGCGACGGCGACGACGTCCTCGGTCGCGTGGCCGGCGATTTGCCGAGCATGGTCGGCCGCACCATCAGCAACGAGAACGGCGACGTCCTGGGCGACGACGGCCACGAGCTCCTCGGCTACGTCGAGCACGTCACGACCGACGCTGAACGGCGGTCCATGCAGGAAGCCCGGCGGCGACGCGCAGCCGCGGCTGCCGCCCAGCCGCTCGACGAGTTTACCGGCGGCGGGTCGAGCGCGTTCCGCGTGGATGCCGACGGCAACATCCTCGACGGCCAGGGCAACATTGTGGGGCGGATGAACAAGAAGGGGGACGGGGAGGACGAGGACGGCAACGACCAGACGAGAACGAAAACACAAGGCGAGCAGAAGGGCGGGTCACCGCCCCGCGTCAACGCCGAGAGCTACCGAAAGGAAGGCGAGAGCCCGTCCGACATCTTCTTGGACGTCAAGTCCACCACCGAAGGCATCCAGCTGACCATTCGCATTCCCACCGTCTTTCCCAACACCGGCCAGCCGCCCAAGATGCCCAACATTAGCTTTACGTGAAGGCGGTTGTGCTGGCGTTGGGTTATCGTTTTGGGATCTGTTGATCGGGTTATCGTTTTGGGATCTATTGATCGGAAGGCGTTGCGGTATTACAGTCGGCGTTTATGTAAAGGACGGAATATTGGAGATGTAGGGTAGAGTCGATGCTTTATTATTATTTATTCTCTTCGTTTCACTGCAGAGTATGGTCACCGTTGCACCTTTTCACGATGCTCTTGTAAATCATTGCAGAATTCAACAAAGATGCCCACGATTGTCGCTTTTAGCAGCCGTTGCAGCTGCAAAGCTATCCGTGTAGGTCACTAATTAAGACGCATTCCCACGTTCGCTTCAGAGGACAGATCGGCCGATCGATGATCTAAGACTTGGCCGAGTGGATGCAGCGGACAGGTTTTTTGCGTATTTAAATAGAGTAGTCCACCTCTCCACCCACTCCATTTTGCCACATCCACATGGGTACGTCACACCAGGCTCTAGAACCCCTTCGGCTGGCAAGCCGTCAGGCTAGACGACGAGACGACCTTCCCTGCTTCCCCAGTCTTTTGTGACTAGCTTGAGTGTGCCCCGGTAGCCTTTCCTTCGTTCTTTTCAGTCTCCATACACCCTCTCTGTCCTCAGTACACACCGTTTCGTCACGGCTTCCATGTTATCGTTTTTGATTTCTTGTAACGCTGAAGAACTTGGTAACCATGCCGGTCTAGATGAACTTTTTACACCCTCTCCCCTCCCCATCTGCCCCGGAGCCCGTCCAACTTGTCGTCGGTGTGTGGATACATGGTTTGTTGGTTTGGTCTTGATCTTGATCGCTTGGCTTAGTTTGCAAAGATGAAGTCATCCTCGCAGGTATTACCTGGGCTTGTATGCATCCTCTTCTGGGCGGCCAGACAGCCTCACGGCTTGGCTTCCCACTTGCCATGTCATACAAGACCACAGGAGATGGTTCTAGAGCGTTGCCTTCCAAGTTAACAATGCTAGCCTGTCGAGGCAGGCCACACTCTACCCCCTCTCGCCTCCTGACTTGACAATGGCCGTGACGTACCTCTGACGACGACAGGCTGCCTCGTTGGAAGTCGATGATGCGATGGATCCGGGGCTCGTCTGTTGAGAAGGATCTGTGTATAAAAGTCTGGCCATACCATTCCCTTGTTGTCAGCACTGCATCTTCACCTTATCTCGACATCCAGACATCTCGTCACCATACTACAACACAACGTTCACAAACAGTCTCCATTCCTTCCACTCCAACCACCCCACACACCAACATAACTTACCTCGCTCAACTTCCACCCGCATCCACCATCACCATGGCCGACGTCCAGAGCGCCACTTCGCAGGTCACCAATGACCCGAAGACCTCGGCCGAGTCCGCGTCCGGTGCCGCCGGCACCAAGGACACCAAGGACAAAGATCCCGAGGCCGAGAAGAAGGAGCAGGACAAGAAGCTGGCGCAGCAAATCACCACGGCGCTGGAGCGCTGCCTCGACAAGGTCAAGCCCATCTGCGACATGATCACCCAGAAGATGGAGGCCGCCGACCGCCAGCCCAAGGACGAGCTCGACGAGGAGGGCCTCGTCAAGGAGGTCAAGCCCCTGATCGAAGAGGGCGGCAAGATCCTGACCGAGGCCAACGGCGTCGTCCGCGGCCTCGACCCGGACGGCCGCATCCAGTCCCAGGCCAAGCACCACGCCGCCACCCACGAGGCCACGCCCGAAGAGTACCACCTCGCCGACGTGCTCAAGGAGCTGACCGGCAAGGTCACCACCACCATCGACGGCGCCAAGAAGAAGCTCGAGAACATGCCCAAGGCCAAGAAGGAGCTCAACCCACTCTGGGGCCTCCTGTCCGAGCCCCTCGCCCAGATTCTCGCCGCCGTCGGCCTGCTCCTCAGCGGCGTCCTCGGCCTCGTGGGCAAGCTGCTCGGCGGTCTGGGCCTGGGCGGACTCGTGGACAACCTGCTGGGCGGGCTGGGCCTCAACAAGATTCTCGACAGCCTCGGCCTGGGCTCCGTGACGAGCTCTCTGACGGGAAAGAAGTAGAGGGCGAGGCGGGCAGTAACGGACTGACGGAGGGAGGATACTGGAAAAGAACCATTTGGATTGTACGGGCGTAGGGCAGGGATAATATGGATATGGACATCACCAGGAACACGAATAATTAGTTAGCACTTGACAATATCACGTTGCATGAGAATATCACGACTTTCACAATAACTCACTGGTGATATACTTAAAAAAGAAAGAAAACAAAGCAATTCACTACGACCTCAGACTCGCCAAGCAACGACAGTGCACAACCATGCAGGCCGAGACATGCTAAGCTTTACACGTCCTGCGTTAGAAAAGAAGCTTTGCGGACAAGAATTAGCGCTGCGGACGGACCTTGTGAAGGAGAGAAACATAAGAGAGCGTGCAGAAACACACAGATACACAACAGAGAAGATATCGTGAATCACGCTAATGAAAGTGATGAGTTGCTACGAATACCTGGAGAACTCGAGAGCGCGCAGTGGTTTGCCGATCATTTGTTGGCTGGGAGTTGCACGTACGGAGGAATACAACGTACGACATGCTCCATATTACTGGTCATTTCCTGCTGCCCGGCAGGGAAAAGACTACAGTATTGCACGATGTCACCTGGACCCTGGACCAGGCTTGAGACGAACTTTTACGTCTGAGCGAAAGGCATGCAATCAGAGTAGGGGAAGCTGGTGTATTTTAATCTGTTTGATCAATTGTTTTTGTTTTATTCACAAAAGAGAATGTACAGCCTGCCCACGATTGTGTCTCCTCTAAACAAGCTTTGTTAGTTTCTCTTGGACAATCCTCAGCTCCTCCATTGTCAAACTGACGCGTCCCTTTGCGGATCCATACTCTGTACGATATGGCCTCGCTCACGGCCCTGCATCCTACCGCAAACGAAAACAGACATGGCCTCCGACTGTCACATTGGAGAGGTGGCCTGAATCCAATATTAGGTCGGCAGAAATAAAGACTCTCTCAAACACGAACCTTTGGAACTGTCAAACATTTTTCAGGGGTTACCACGACGGAGATTGGACAGCAGAAAACGTGACATCCCAAAACAAACGTAAACAGTCATCAGAGACTGTTGGCATGGCGGAAGACCCCTGAACAACGGCTCATCCTGGTTGCTGTGCCTCTTTGTTTTCTCTCCTTTTTTTCTCCTCTCCGGAGAAATCCTTTCAAAACCACAACGAACTGCAGAGTCGCAGCTGCAACAGGCACCCCTGACATGTGCAGCGCCATGTACACAGTATGCGGCCAATGTGGAATTACTTGGTCGGGAATCTTGGCTGTGCGACCATCAAAATCGAGACAAGAAACTACGAAGAACTGAAAAACGAATTCAAAATAACATACGCTGGACTCATCTTCCTTTGCCATTGTTGCTGCCCCATTGTTTGGATTTGAATTATGACACCTTGCCTCCACTATCCACCAAATAAACTCCCACTAGTAGTCGAGATTCTCCATTCCTTGCTCACACCTCGAACTTCTCCGTTCATCACTCCATACCAGAGGTCGCATTCGACGATACCCAAAGGACCTGCCCCATTCTGTTGGCCATGTTTCTGATACTCCGCTTGATGTGCGACGTTCTCCATCCTTTTAATATCTCTGTCGTTTTTCATGTTTGGTCCGTCGCCGATGAAAATCTGGTTCTCCAATAGGACCTGACCCAGAAACATCCGTGCGCATTCGTACCCACATCTCCGCACAGAATTTGCACACTTGCCCACACGAGTCCAGGCGCACGGCCGCACCGGTGAACGACAATTGTGGAGACGACACGAGGGCTGAAGAGGGTCGACAGGGCGGACAATGGAGCCCAATCTGGAGCATGGACAAGGGCGTGCGGGACGGGAAGATAGGGGGAACCACGACCAACTGGAGTTCGTGAGTGCTACGATGTACACAGGAGAGACCTCGAGGTCCTCTACGGACACTAAACACGGCAAACGGCAACGGCACACGCGGCGGGCCCAGTCCTGCTAGTCCTGCTAGCCCTGCTCATCTTCATTGCTTCTATGCTGTGAAGAGAAAAGATGGACGAGGCCTGAGAGTTGCGGCTGCAGTAGTTTGCACTGTTTGTTGATCAGAGGCTGTTCTTTTCCTATTTTTGCATGTCGTACGATGTACGCGTAGACAACGACATGTACTTCCAACCCGACCCATCCACACCCACGCCATCGTCCTCGTCTCCGGTTCCCAGGTTCACCCTTGTTTGGCGGACACATCCTTCCATGTCGACCACGGCTGCTTATGCAGAGTGAAGGGAGCCGTCCGTCTGCAGACTTTGCAAGACTCTCACTCTCTGCAGGTGTACTTTTGCATGTCTGCCAGGACCGTTCGTCGTGACAGGATGCTCAGAAAAAGAAAAGCCTCAGCATCCTAGTCAACGTCGCCTCCAACTGTGTTGCACAGACCCCACAGTCGACGTCCTCCAGCCGCGCTGGCCTCGCATTCCGTGCGTCTCGACTGCTGGATATCACATCCGGCCACGTTCAACGGCAGCCATCGACAGACGACCGCCGCTGTCCTTGTCGCCCGTCGTGGTGACTTTGTTTGATATAATCTTCTCGTATGTCGGTCGCTGCCTTCGAGCCTCCTTCTAGCCGCTTTATTTGCGTCTTCTCTCGTTCCTTCTTCCACGGACATGTTTGTCTGAGCGCCTCCGCGGTATAAGAGACGCGTTCTGCCTAGACATCCGTCTTCATCGACTCACGACAGCACAACAGCACGACAGCACGACAACACCGTCGCAAACACAAGCACCGTCTTGCCATCAGCCCTTTACTCGTCACCATGTCCAACATCGACCACTCCCGCGATGGCGAGTCCAAGGTCACCGAAATCATCGCCATCATCACCGTCAGCTGCGCCTTGACGTCGACCCTCGTCGTCCTCCGTGTCGTCACGCGCACCTTTATCGTCCGCGCCTTTGGCCCCGACGACTGGGTCTTGGTCGTGGCACAGGTCCTCGCCATCGCGGCGGCCGTCGCCATCGGATTGGGTGCGTTGTCGTCCGCCTTGTCCTCTGGCTTTTGATTTTGTTTGCAAAAACTAACAACGCAGAACAACACTTTGGCATGGGCCGTCATGTGTGGACAATCGAAGACCTCGTACCATACACCAAGGTGTGTTTTCTCCTGTCCCCGTTCGCTGTCCTCACTCGCGTCTTGTGCCCACTGACGATCTCGCAGAGTTTCTACTCCTCCATCCTCGTCTACAACGCCGCGCTCGTCCTCGTCAAGGTCTCCATCGTCCTCATGTACCGCCGCATTTTTGTCGGCACCTGGCTCCAGCGCGCCAACCTCGCCGCCCTCGTCTTCCTGACCGCCTGGGGCATTGCCCTCGTCTCCTTTTTGTCCATGCTCTGCCTGCCCATCCAGCTGCTCTGGGACCCCACCGTCAAGGGCCACTGCATCGACTTTGTGCCCGCCTTCTTTGCGCCGGCCGTCATCAACCTGATCACCGACCTGACCGTCTTCATCCTGCCGCTGCCGGCCATCCGCCAGCTCCAACTGCCCCTGCGGCAAAAGATCATCCTGGCCTTTATTCTGTGCCTCGGCCTCTTTACCTGCATCATCTCCATCGTCCGCCTCTCCACCCTCGACGCCGCCGCCACGTCCTCCGACACCACCTGGGACAACACGGGCGCCGCCCTCTGGTCGTACCTCGAGCTGACCGTGGCCATCATCGCCGCCTGCCTGCCGACCCTGCGGCCCTTTGTCTCCCGCTTCTTTCCCCGCCTCATTTCGTCCGGTGGCTCCAACGACCAGCACTCGGCGCCGCCCACGGGGCCCGACGGGCCCCTCCAGACCTGGGGCGGCTCCGGCGGGCCCACCTCCAGCACGCCCTCGGGCCAGTACTCCAAAGTCAGCGACAGCACCGACGCGCTGTACGCCGACGCGGAGATTGGCATGGACGTGCTGGCCCCGGTCGACAAGCCGCAGCCTGTCGTGCAGACGACCGTGCAGCACACGTACCGCGAATCCGTGGCCCGCCGCGGCCGCAACGAGACGACCATTGGCACGGGCCGCAGTCCGCGGTCGCAGGGCAGCGACGAAGTCGAGCTCACAGGCCAGGGTTATGGACACGGCAATGGAAACACAAACACAAACAGCGGGATCCGAGCAACAACGACCATCAAACAGGAGTACCAGTAGGTGCGTATGTATTGTACGGAGTGTATGCAAAAAAAGTGTACTTAGTATTAGTGTTATTATAGTGCTTGAATTTACGTTCTATGGAATGGAAAATTAAATGTTGCAAACGAAAGAACCAGCTTTACGCTACCTTGCGCTTGGCCAGCTTGCTCTGGATAAACTTGTTCTTGGAGATGGAAAAGCGGATCTAGACGGTCAGCATTCGTAAAGTCAGGGAAGCCCTCAACTGCCTACCAAATGGGGTCGCGTGACTTACCTTCTTCCCAAACACATAAAGAAACATGCCCATCACGCACGTCAGGCCGTGCACGGCGCCGATCCAAAAGTACACGTCCCGGTAGCCGCTCCGCTGAATCCAGATGTTGATGACAAACGTCATGACGAAGCTGCTGATGCCCCGGAAGATGGTGACGGCAGCATAGCCGTCCTGGGCCTGGGCGCGGTGGCAGTCGAGCAGGTAGGTGTTGCTGATGAGGGAGTTGATGGAACCGGCAAAGATGGCCAGTCCGTAGAAGAAGACGGGGACCATGAACGGCGCGCGGACCTGGAGGGACCACCCAAACCCCCAGAAGCCGAGCAGGCCCAGGAAGAACGAGGGGACGGACAGGACGATGCGAAACTCGGGCTCGTAGATGCCCTTGTTGCGGCGGGACAGAAACGTCACGAGCCAGTCGGACAGCGGACCGGGCAGGGCGTTGCCGAGCGTGGCGCCGACAAAGGACGAGAAGACGGTCAAGCCGACTTGATTGCTGGTGAAGTTGTACGGGGCCTTGGTGAAGATGGACGACAGGCCGACGGAGAAGGAGGCCGCCACGGCCACGCTCCAGCCGTACGAGAGGGCGGCCCACGAGACGGCGGGCAGGAGAAACGCGCTCCAGGGCGTGACGAGGGCGCGCCAGAACGACTCGTCGCTGAAGCGGCCGTTGAAGACGCGCAGGCTCTCGCGGTAGCTCATCCGCGCCTCGACCGCGGGCGGAGTGGACTCGACGTCTCCATCGTGGACGCTGCTGCTCACCGTCTTCTCGTCGCCTCTCGCAAGCGCCGGAATGCCCGAAATCTCCCGCTCGCTGCTGCTGTCGTCAATGTCCTCCAAAATGTCCAGATCCAACTGCGCCGGACGGTTGTACGTCGTCTCGGGACAGGCAAAGTAGAGGACAATGGTGTAGACGGTATAGACGATGCAGGCCCAGATAAACGGCCACCGCCAGCCCATGGACGACAGGATGGCCGTGCCGATTGGTTGCCCCAGCGCGTTGCCGCCGGACAGCGCATAGTGCCAGATGGCGAGGTGGATGCCGCGCTCGTGCACAAAGAACAGGTCGCCGACGCTCGAGCTCACCAGGTACTCGAGCCCGGCAATGCCCAGGCCGTGGATGCCGCGCCCGACAAAGAGGCCGACAATGTTCTCGCCGGCGGCGACGACAATGACGTACCCGAGGATGGCGATGGCGTTGGACGCGAGAAGCACGGGCCGCTTGCCGTAGATGCGGGCCAGCGGACTCGTCAGGACGGCACTGACGCCCAGCGTCAAGAGCACGACGCTGACGCTCTGCGAGACGGTGTTGGCCGTGGTGTGGAAGATCTTGGCCATGGCGGCGTTGGCCGGGTTGATGAAGTTGTGGGTGCCCGCCATGAGGCCGGTGCCGCAGGACAGGAAGATGGACGTGAGGACTTTGCGGGTGGGCGACCAGTCTGTTGCAACAAAACCATTAGTAACGAGCGATCAGAGCGCGCTCGGTGGACGGCCAGCCGGACATACTCAGCGGATCGTTTGGACTCGACGACGGCTGCGGCGCCAGCACGGTCCCTGCATGCCGTCCCGTGCCGTGTTTGAGGAACGCCGTGTTGCGAATCCGCTTCTCGCTCTCTTTCTGCAAGTGGACAGTCCCGGGGACGACCTCGTCCGTGTCGGGTTCCAAGATCCAGAGGCCCATGATGTGTCGATCAGATGGAGTATACGGGAGAGGAAAAGACGACACTAGTAATCAATGTTGAACAACGAGAAGTTTGTGGGTGGAAAGCGGCCACGCGACGAGTCAGTTGTTTCCAATCAGACTCGAGTGCTTTCTATGTTTTTTTTTTATTTTGTACAGATGCAACTACTATTTATTCAGACGTTCGTTGCTCACCTTGGATCGCCGCCTACAACGTGTGCATCGCCGAGTACTTTGTCCCGACAACTCGTGGACGCTCCTAGGCACGCCTAGCCTGGGAATCATCTTCTGCAATCGATCGCACCATCGTGCATTTGCTTTCTTGGGACGGTATCCACCAGAGTGGACTGTCGACTGCAAGATGGGACGCGAAAAACTGAGGATGCTAACAGAAGAAGTCTGAGACGTCGCCTCCCCGTCTTCTCCCCGGCAGCTGGTCGTGGAGGTCGTCAACTTATACAAAAGTGACGTGCTCAGACGCTAGTCTTCTTTTTGGCATCGCCGACGATAGTCCGGCTTGGTGACCGTGGAAAAAACAGACTATCGACCTGAAATGGTTACAGCGCTTATCCCAACCCCTGCAAACCTGGCCCATTCCCTGCCAAGACGTCCCATGCTCCCAGAGACTCGGCGATGCAGATTGGGCAACTCCATCGTCAAGCCGGGGAGTGCATGCGATGAACGACGGCAGTTCCTGTCCTCCCGCAGTCTCCGGTGCTTTTCCCATCACCGCACGACACTACTGTGCCGACTTCCAGACAGACAATCCCTAGGCGGGATGGTGTAATTGTCTAATTCTCTGTCACAATGGCTGTCCAAACGTGGCCAGGCCCGAGCTCACGGGTCAGCCTATCCTCGATCCTTGTCGTCCATGTGGTTTAGTTTTGTGCGCGTGTTCACCGTCCGTACTGTGTTTTGCGCATCATAAGTCGAACGCTGATTATAACATCGACAGGACTCGTGGCCGCGACTGTTAGCTGCGTCTCGAACAAGACTCTCTGCCACAACATGTCGTCCGCGCCCCACCCCGAGGCCGGCCGCCGGCTGCTGCCACACATTGCCGACCAGGTGGCGGCTGACACGCCCGACCGCGTTCTGTACGAATATCCGTCGTCAGCCGACTTGACACGGCCATGGACGACCGTCACGGCGCGCCAGTTTGCCAATGCAGTCGACCGAGCCGCGCACTGGATACGAGACAATGTGCACGACACGAAGACCATCGCCGATAACCGGACAGAGGTCCTCGGGTACAGCGGGCCACCCGACCTCCGCTACTATATCCTGGTGCTGGCCGCCGTCAAGGCCGGCTTCGTGATGCTCTACACGTCGCTGCGCAACAGCCCCGAAGGCGATGCGGCCGTGCTGGAAGCGGCAGGGTGCACGACGTGGCTGCAGGCATCGCGGGGCACACACATTCAGCGGGTGGTCGACTTGGGCACTCCGTTCGCGGCGAGCCTACGACTCGTTGCCCTGCCTGAGCTCGGCTTCTTCCTCGACGACAGCACCCCGTCGCCCCCGTTTTCGTACACAAAGACGTGGGACGAGGGCAGGCGAGACCCCGTGTGGGTACTGCACACGAGCGGCAGCACAGGCCACCCGAAGCCCGTCACGCGCTTTCTGGACAGCGTGGCGTTCGCCGAGGCCAACACGCTGCTGCGGCCGATCCACGGACGACCACTGCTGCTGCACGACATCTGGGGCGCCCGTGCGTACCTCGGGTTCCCCATGTTCCACGCGGCCGGCCTCAACAACGGCATCCTGTGGCCGCTCGTCCACGGCGGGACGATTGTGCTGGGCCCCCCGGACTTGGCCCTTAACACGGCCGACGTCGTGGCCGACGTCATCCGTGCCGCCCGCCCCGCGGCGCTCTACCTGCCGCCGTCGCTCCTCGAGGACCTGGCCAAGGACGAGGCCACCCTGCAGCTGCTGGGCACCACCAAGGCGATTGGCTACGCGGGCGGCCCGCTGAGCCACGCCACCGGCAACCGCATCGTCGACCGCCTCCCGCACACGGTCCTCCACCAGGGCATCGGCACCACCGAGACGGGCTGGCTGCCGGCCGTGCTGACCGACCGCCGCGACTGGTTCTACACGCACGTCCACCCAGACACGGGCTGCGAGCTGCAAGACCGCGGCGGCGGGCTGTACGAGCTGGTCTGTGTCCGCCAGGCAGCGCTCGAGCAGTGGCAGCCCATCTTCTCGACGTTCCCCGACCTCCAGGCGTATCCCTTCCGGGACCTCTTTTCCCGGCATCCGGATCCGCGCAAGAGCGATCTGTACAGGTACGAGGGCCGCATCGACAACGTCTTGGTGCTGTCCAACGGCGAAAAGGTGCAGCCCCAGGCCATGGAGCTGGCCATTGTGGCGAGTCCGCTGGTCGGGGATGCTCTGGTGGTGGGGCAAGGGCGGTTCCAGACGGCGCTGCTGGTGCAGCCGTCGCCGAGCGCCCGCTCTCTGCCGCTGCCCGACTTTCTGGCGGCTCTCGCGCCCGTCCTGGATGAGGCCAACAGGACCGCCCCGGCGCACGCCCACATCCATGCCGACTTTGTCTTGGTCGGCGATCCCTCGAAGCCGTTTGTCCGCACCGGCAAGGGCACCATTCGACGCGCACCGACCGTAGAGCTGTACAAAGACGAGCTGGATGCGCTGTATGAAAGGGCAGAGGCCGCCCAGGGCGAGGGGGGTGTTGTCGACTTTGCCACAGAAGACTCGTTGAGAGACAGCTTGCGGGAGGCCATCAAAGGTCTTGCCAGCACAAACAAGGCCATTGCCGACGACGACGACTTTTTTGTGACAGTTGGCCTGGATTCACTGCAGGTCTTGACAATCAGACGGCAGATTGCAAGGGACGTGCCGGACAGCATCAGGCCGGCAGACATTGCGGCGGCACTCATCTACCGGAATCCGTCGTTGGCTGCTTTGACACGGGCACTGTGGGAGATGCAGAGTGCGGGTGGACAGGCAGCCGATAGGGAAGGCAGTGCAGCGGAGCAGCTGCTGGCAGAGTACTCTCGGACGTTGCAGGCCATCAAGACAAGCGCAAACGGCGCAAACGGCCACGCCACCAACGGAACCAACGGCGCCAGCAACAGTCACACACCCACTGTCGTCCTCCTGACGGGCAGCACGGGAAGTCTCGGTTCGCACCTACTCAACACGTTGCTGCACACGCCCGACATCGATGAGGTTTGGTGTCTCAACCGGGCAGAGGACGGCGGACTTGAGAAGCAGAAAGAACTTCAGGCGCGGCTGGGAACTGCCGACAGTCTCGAAACGGCCCTCACTGCTGGCCATCTACACTTCCGTCGTGCACGCCTCGCCGACGACCATCTAGGCCTGCACGGCGATGACTACGCCCGCCTCCAGCGCTCCGTCACCCACATCCTCCACACCCAGTGGCAGGTCGACTTCAACCTAGCCGTGTCGTCGTTCAAGCCGCACCTTGCCGGCATCGTCAAGCTGGTCGAGTTGGCTGCGTCGTCAACCCGCCATCCCCATGTCCTCTTCACCTCCTCCGTCGGGATTGCCAACCGCTCGGCGGCCGCTGTGCCTGAGCAGTTTTTGTCTGACTTTTCCACGGCTGGGTCTGGCTACGGCGAGTCAAAACTGCTGGCCGAGCTTCTTCTGCAAAAAGCAGCGGCGGTCCACGGCCTCCCCGTCACCGTCGTCCGCGTCGGCCAGATCAGCGGACCGGTCACGCTGCCAAAGCATGCAGGCATCTGGAACCCCAAGGAATGGTTTCCCAGCCTGGTCGCGTTCTCTGCCCATACGCGGCGTTTGCCCACGTCGCTGGGCCGCAACGAACGTGTCGACTGGATCCCGGCAGACCATTTGGCACAGATCCTGCTGGAGTTTGCAACCGCCGCCACAGCCGCGACCGCCCCGGGCGAGGCCACGCTCGTGCATGCCGTCCACCCCCGTTCTACGACGTGGTCCGACGTACTTCTCCCGAGTGTCCTCGCTCACTTCAAGGCACAAGGCACGCCCCTCCAGGCAGTCGCTCTCGACGACTGGGTCGCCACGCTGGTCAAAGAAGCACAGACGGCCGACGACGCCCTGTCGGCCAAGCTCTCGGCCCTTCGTCTCGTGCCGTTCTTGTCCAGCCTGGCGACTGCGTCGGCTCCAGCACGGCCGCTATTCGACACATCCATCGCTGTTCAGAAAAGCGCAACATTGCAGTCGCTGCCTCCCATTGCGGCCGACTCTGTCGAAATTTGGCTCCGCCAATGGGGCTTGTAGCTTTGGACAATCGCCCATATCGACTGCTAAAGCGACGTCTGATATGGTGTAATGGTCAACGTCCGACGCTCTGCATCGAGCTCGGGGCTATTCCCCGTGTTAGAAATAGAAACAACGGATGTGGTTACGATTTGATTTATTCTTGGTTGATTATTCAAGCGAATAAAACAAGACTTAAAATTTTATTTGAATATTTGATTTTGATTAGTCACGCAGGGATTTTGAAAAAAATAAAATAAAAGTAAACATAAGCAATCGAAAATCGATACAGAATAGACAGTTTATTTATTTCAATGGATGACAAACTTCTATAATCCTCATAACAATTCAGTATGCGACATACGAGCCGAGCGTTCGCCGACGTTGCGGACCTATCCACAGTGGCCCAGCCGAACTCGGGTGGGACGTTTCTTGGCGCAAATACTTGTAAGTCGTCTCGGGTGGGAATAGCATCACACCATCACACCATTCATCCGCAATTCCCCCACTGGCAACGAACGTTTCCGACGACCTGTATTTAACACAATCGAAACAAACTCCAAGCTTAAAGAGATCTCTTCTCTCACCCTCATCAGCCCAAGCACGCAATCGACTACTACCGAAATAGACAGCTCGAACAAGCACCACATCCCTCAGCTCAACGCCTCCAACAACACCTCCAACAACTCAATACCATCATGGCCCCGCAGAACATCCGCGCCATCTATGGCATCCCGCCGTCCCTCCCTTCCCTCACCGACTCTGTCCTCGTCCTCATCGACACCCAGGGCGAATATGCCCATGGACTCTTGAAGGTCGAGAAGGCTGCCGAGACCCGCGCCGTCATCAAGGGCCTCCTGGACCGCTACCGCGCGGCAGGCCCCAACTCGGTCGTCCACGTCGCCCAGGCCAACCGCGAGGGGGCACCCGTCTTCACTCCGGGCACGCCGTTGGCGGATATTCTACCAGAACTCACGCCCACAGACTCCGAGCCTGTCGTCTACAAGCGCCATGCCACGGCGTTTACGGGCACCACCTTCCAGCAGGAGCTCGACAAGATTAGCAAGAAGAAGCTGGTCGTCGTCGGCTACATGGTATGCTTTGGTTTTCGCTTCGCTCGCGTTTTGTTTCTCCTCTCCACGCCTCGCTCGAAAGTCGCTAACGTACGTACAGGCCCACAACTGCGTCTCCGCAACGGTCCGCGCCGCCGCCGAGCTCGGCTATGACGTCTACGCCGTCCGTGACGCCGTCGGCGACCGCGACCTGCCTGGCGCCACGGCCGAGGAGCTTGTGCGCGTGTCGCTCATTGAATTAGCCGATGTCGTGGCCACCATCATCGACAGCAAGGATGTCCAGTGACGGGACGTTGTTTATTGTACTCTACTGAAGAAATGACTCGTACACAAAAGCTAAACCATGTTTCGTTCTACTCTATGACATCCAATTCCGTCAGAAGTGGATACGGCACTCGAGCCCTTACTCCCAAGGTGTTTCCCTCCTTGGCGATGCCCAACACGGTTCCATTGGGCAGCTTGCCCACTTGCCGGGGACTCCGGTACGCTTGGAGCAGCCGCATCATTTTTGCATCCTCGCCCACGTCCGATTCCTGGCCATATTCGAAAAGCCTCATAATGCCATTTTTCATGTCCTTTGTTTCTTTTGTGTCCGATGCGGAGTTGTCCGCTGCTGTTGGGGCCACATCCTTTTGAGATCTGCGGGCGTCCTTTCGTGCTTTCTTCCATGCTTGTTTGCGTATGCGCTGAAGAATGGCGTCGAGCAGCGGGTCGTTTTCAAGCTGCTTGGCCACGTTTGAAACCCAGAGCCATCCCCGCCTTTCGGCGGGATTCGTGGTATTGTCGGCGGGCTTGTCTCGGCGTGGGAGATGCCTGACCCGAGCCATCTCCTGCCACATGGCGGCCATATCGAGCTCCATCGAAGTAGTTTTCCCGTGAAAATTCGACACCATTTGAGCCGAACCAGCTGGCGCGGGAAACGAACGCATGAGCGTGGGCGTCTCGGTAATGCCGTTGATGATGTATCTGAAGCTGAGATACGCATCATCGAGTGGTACTTTGCCAAACTGGAAATCCTTTACGAAATTGTCGCCGGGGCTGTCCCCGCTGCGCTGGTTGCGAGACTTTGAATTTGCACCGTTGTTGTTGCCGTTCTAGAATGTGGTCAGGTTTTTATTTGTGTTATATTTTGATACGCGACGAGAACGCGACGGTTGCCTTCTTACCATGGTAACCAATTTTATTAGTGTCAAAGATTGTGAGGCTTTCAAATGACTTTGTGGTGGTGTACTCGATAATGTTTTGTACACAAGTAGGAGTGCATACGGTTTTTATGTTAAAATAAATGAGGAAAAGCCTCGAAATGGCTGGCTACTGGAAATATAAATGGCAGTTCTCACTGCAGCATACGCATGTTGCCCCTCTCTCGAGACGTGTTGAGTCACAACCTCATCGCCGCACATTTGCAGCCGACATGCAAAGTCGCTTGCGTGCCTCATGCACACTGGCTGCTGGCCACTACAGCCAACCACCCGTTTCTGCACCCTGATATTACATCACACAGCAGCCCGCATGCATTAAGCGGATGCCCGCTGGTTGCGGCGCATGCAGTCGGGTAGCACACATGTATGCACAGCCTCCCAACAGACATCAAAACCAGCGAATGATAGACGTACATCGTTATTGCAGTTCGTCTGCACGACTGAGCACAGTCCTCAGTAGCCCCTCGTCCACCCTTCGTGCAGCGTTTGCAGGTCGACCTCGTCGGCTGTCACCAAGTACGATGTCAGCTCATCTGGATCGCCGTCTTCCTCCCGCGCTGTCAAGCCGCTGCCGAAATAATGGAAGCGATTTGCCGCGGCCTCCTTGCGCCGCTGGAAGGCAAAGTCCTCCCACCGCGGCGTGCGGGTCACGTCGCCCTTGTGGTGCATCGTGCCGGGCCAGCCCAGGGTGACGCGGCTGGGGCCGGGTCCCTGCTTCCACCAGCTGCTGCACGTGTCGGTCGTTGCTTTGTCGGCGAAGAAGCCCTCGACCACGGCGTCAAAGTCGTCGGTGGCATCCTGCGTCGGCTCGAGGGCCGCGTACGACTGGGCCTGCACTTTGCGGATGCAGGCGGCAATGTACGTAGCGGTCTGCTCGCACTTGACGGGGACGGTGCCGGAGAAGGGGGTGCCCTGGGCCTGCAAGACGAAAAAGTAGTTTGGGAAGTCGGGGGCCATGACGCCAAAGTAGTTTTTCGGGTAGCCGACACGGCCGCCGGGGCCCCAGATGTCGCGGATGTCGGTGCCAGAGCGGCCCACCAGCGGATACGCAGGGGTGTAGTTGTCGGGAAAGCCCGTGGCGGTGATGATGGTGTCGACGGCAAAGGACTGGCCGTCGGTGGTCTCGATGCTGCTGGTCGTCACGCGCGCAATGGGCGTCTGCACAAAGTCGACCTTGGGGTCGCTGAGGGCCTCGAGGTAGCCAGGGGCGGGTGTCAAGCGCTTGCACATGGGGGCATAGTCGGGGATCAGCTTGGCCAGCAGCTCGGGGTCGTGGTTGACACGTTCCGAAATCAGGGCCGTCAAGTCCTTGCGCAGCTTGGCGTTGGCGTCGCTTCCCGCGTAGAAGCCGGCGATGCCCGTGTGGAAGGTAGCATTGAGCTCTTTGCGATAGGCCAGATAGTCTCCTTGGCCGTCGCGGGACGCAAAATGCTTACGCGTCTCTTCGGGGATCGCGTGGCCGGCCGGGTTGCCCTTCTGCGCCGCACGCGCCGTGAGTCCGCCGTTGAACGCCGCTGACACCCAGTTGCGTGTGCGGGCAAAGTGGCGTAGACGGGCCACGCGCGGCAGAACGGCCGGCAAGACCTGCATGCCGCTGGCGCCGTTGCCAATGACGGCGACTCTCTTGTTGTCGAGGATGTCGGCGGCGCTGTGGTGGTCCCAGCGGGCGGTATGCACGACAGCTCCCTGGAAGGTGTCCAGGCCTGGAATGTTGGGCGGTGCGGCATTGTTCAGCCGGCCGGTGGCTGAGATGAGAAACTGTGCCGCCACGGTAGACTCCGTCCCGGCCACCAGATCCCGCACCGTAATGTGCCAGTGTGCGTCCTCGGTCTCCCACACAGCACTGATCACTTCGTGCTGCAGCCGCAGGTGCTTGTCAACACCGAATTTCTTGGCAGTCGCCTCGTAGTACTCCCGGATTTCCGCGCCTTTGGCATAAAATTCCGTCCAGTGCGGATTCGGCGCAAAGGACAGCTGGTACGCGTGCGAGGGCACGTCACAGCGCACGCCGGGGTACTGGTTCTCCTCCCATGTGCCGCCAACGCGTGCGTGGCGGTCGTAAACGGTGAGGGTCAAATTGGGCACCTTGGCCTTCAGGAGCACGGCCGTGGCGATGCCCGCGATGCCGGCGCCGATGACGACGGCCGAAACGGGCTGGTGGGCATTGTACGCTGTTTTAGGCAGTGGGTACGGCGCCGGGCGGTTGCCACGGTCAAACGCCGCTGTGGACGTTCTGTTCTTGTCGATGGAGCCCATTGTGAGAGAGTATGTGGTTGTGTCTGATGGCCCACGGCATTGTTTGTGCTTCACGTTAGTGCACCATGCCGTGGTGGTGATGGCAGTTACGATAATTGTATTATAACGTGTTCTACCATTATAGATTCTGCACTTCATTTTCTTGCCTCGTCCATCTCAATTGCGCAATAGGTTGTTGTCTTCTCGCCATCTGGCTATCCCTCTAGATGCTACCCGGTTTTAGGTCAGGTGTGTCAACAGCGGGAAAAATACGGGTGCAAGTCAACTCGGGTGGGCAAACTTGTCGGGGACGTCTCGGGTGGGAAATGTGCGCCAACAAGCGTCTTGGCGCCTACCTGTCGGTGCGATGGTGTCTTGTTGACCTTGCTTGACCGGGGCCATCGTAGTTCTCTCTTCGTAGAACCCGTAAGCCGCCGTCACGCAACGCTGCATAGATGTTGATTGCGCCATCGCGGGTGCATCTTGTGTCGACGACAGTCTTGTGTTGACAACATAGATGCACCGCTGAAGGCTGTTGTAAATGTTCACAACTCAAGTGCAATCTTCAGGGTGTATATAAATAATCGAGGCTACATGCATGAATCAAAACTGTCATTGAGGGTAATTCTGCATCGCGACCTGGTATCTCAACCTATATTACATTGGGGGTTTCGCCCTCGCGTGTCGTCGCTTTCGCTTTGGCTTTTCTATTTTCGAAATCACCTACCTCCTCTCTCACCATGTCTGGCCACGAAAAGGCCATCGAGGCCTTTGTCCTGGCCTCACCACCGGCGTCGGACTCGGAAGCCGCGTCCGACCATTCCCCGAATGCCAACAGCCCAGACTCCCCTACCCTCGTCAACCGCGAGTGGTCCACCAAGGCGTCCTTCTGGCGCTGGTTCCACCCCAACGACGGCCCTGCCGAGCGCCGACTGGTGACGAAGCTTGATGTGTCGATCCTGGCGTTTGCGTGTGCCGGCTTCTGGGCTCTCTACATCGACCGCGGCATGTACAACAACGCGTACATCAGCGGCATGAAGGAGGACCTCCAGTTTTACGGTAACCAGTATGTGCAAATCAACTCGATTTTCCTCATTGGCTACGCCGTCAGCATCATCCCCTTGACGCTGATCAACACGCGCGCGCCGCCCCAGATCGTCATCCCCGTGTGCATGGCCGTCTGGGGCCTCGCAACATCGCTCGGCGCACGGGCGCAGTCCTACGGCGAGCTGGCCGGCTACCGTTTCCTGGTGGGCCTGGGCGAGGGCGCCTTCTTCCCGTCCATCCACTACGTGTTTGGGTCCTGGTATCGCCCGGACGAGCTGGCACGGCGGTCCGGGCTCTTCTACGTAGCGGGCAGCGTGGGAACCATCTCGACGGGGTTCCTGGCGGGCCGAATCTACGCCGACCTCGATGGCGCCCTCGGGCACGCGGCATGGCGCTGGATGTATCTGGTCGGCGGCGTCATTGCGCTTCCCATTGCTCTCTTTGGCATCCTCACCTTTCCTGGCACGCCGCAGCACCCCAACAAGCGGCTGTTCCGCGAAGACGAATTGGCGCTCGCCCGCGCCCGGCTGGCGGCCATGGGCCGGCGGTCCACCCGAAAGGCGTCGTTGGTGTTCTCGCTGTCGTCGGTCCGCCGGTTCGTCGGGCGCTGGCACGTTTGGGTGCTGGTGCCGTGGAGCATAGTCTACCAGCAGGGCTACCTGGCCATGCTCCAAGGGACGTACACGCTGTGGATCAAGTCGGTGGCCGGCAGCCACCACTACTCCACGGCCACCGTCAACAACCTGACGGCCGTGCCGCCCTGCGCCGCCATCGTGGCCATTGTCCTCTTTGCCTGGGTGGCCGACCGGTTTGGCGTTCGCGCGCGTCTGCCGCTGTTTGCCCTGGCGCACACCGTTGCCTTTCTCGGCCTGGTCGCGTTCGTCGCATACGACCACTCGCCCTTTGCGTACAAGTGGTTTGGCGTTGCCGTCAGCAATGTCGAGAACGCCATGGTGCCCGTCATGTACTCGTGGGCGAACCTGATCTGCACCGACGACGCCGAGGAGCGCGCCTTTGTCCTCAGCGCGATGCTGGCATTTGCCATGGCGTTCAACAGCTGGGTGCCCATCCTGTCCATGCCCACGGTGGAGGCGCCGCGGTATTTCAAGGGCTACTTGGTGTGTCTGCTGATGCAGCCAGTCGCACTCGCCCTGGCGTTTCTGGTGGACTATCTTCACCGAAGAGAGGTGCAAAAGAAGGCGAGGGCAGCAGGAGACGAGGCAGAGGGCAGTGCATAACTGTGGGGATGTGAATGCGTCAATTTATATATACTTTAATCGTACTACCAATTGTACGTAGTCGTTATCGCAGTCCTTCCTCATGTCGCAGTCCTTCTGGTAGCCTCTCCACTCTCTTCTTCACTTTAAGAAACTTCCATTGGTCTTGGCCAGCTGTTCGTCGTAGTAGGGCTGAAACGACAGCCAGCCTTTGTCGGGCGTGCCCACCTGTGTGTAGGTAAAGGCAGCCTCCTCGTCATTGATGAGTTTCTTCGGGTGGCCACTCCCCTGGGCCGCGGCATCCACCAGCAGCTGCGCATGGCATGTCTTGTCGAGGGACAAGAACCAGAAAGCGGCCTCGTCGACGCTGTGGCCAACGGTCAGCAGGCCGTGGTTCTGCAGGATGACGGCTTTGTTGTCCGCGCCCAAGACAGCCGCGATTCGTCGTCCTTCCTCCCGATCGAGGACAATGCCACCAAACTGGTCGTACACGGCATGGCTCTTGTAGAAACGGAGGGCATCCTGCGTAATCATGTCCAGTGGCCGCCCAAAGGCACTAAATGCCTTGCCGTAGACGGAGTGCGCGTGGCAGGCGGCATGCACGTCCGGCCGCGCCTTGTGGATTTCCGAGTGGATGGCAAACGCGGCGGCATTGATGGTCTCGCTGCCCTCGACGACGACGCCGTCTTCGTTGACGAGAACGAGGTCGGACACGCTGATTTGCGAAAAGTGCATCGACAGAGGATTCAGCCAGAAATGGTCGGTCAGAATTGGATCGCGCACCGACACGTGGCCGGCCACGCCCTCGTCGAAGCCGCGATCGGCAAATACGCGGAAGACAGCCGCCAGATGCTGCTTGCGGTAGAGACGCTCTTCGTGGAGCGAGGCAAACGTGGGATAGGATCGAATCTTCAGAGTCTTGCCGGTGGTGGTCCTGCCCAGCGCGCCTGTAGCGGCGTTGGCGCCTTTCTCGTTGGAGAGGACGACAGCGCTAGGGGCCATTATGTGATTCTATTCGTACGAGATTCTAGACGGAGTGTGGAGGGAGGGTGAAGGGAGAGTGGTCAAAGTCAAGTGAATTGGAGTTTGCTGAATTGTTGACGTGAAGAGTAAGGTAAGTCGAGTACACTGTTGTTGTTTGACTCCGCACTTGTCCACCAATGGCAGACGACGCCTGCCCGATTCGTCATTCTGGCCGATGGTGTCGCCGGTTGTCGCTTTCCATTCCCGGGCCAAAGCCGTGTACATTATGCCAGTCGTCGGGTGTGCATTTTACGCTGACTCAGGTGCTGCTAATTACAGCAACCCCTTTTATATTACGGCTACTCACCGTCATCATGGCCACGACTGCGGAATACCTAGTAGATACATATTTGCACTGGTCAAGTTGACCACATTGGCCATATTGACCGTCTGTGGCTCACCGGCCACCCCCCAACCCTCCGGCATCGCCAGCAGCTTATCAAAATCCTCGTCCCAGAAACGGGTCCACGAGGACTCCAGGTCGGTGGCGTCCATGCTCAAGTCGAAGCCAAACTCGTCCATCGATGCCGCGGGTGTTGTGATGCCGGCAGGGCTGGTCGAGTCCGGCGGAGGAGGGTCACCAGCAGGCTGCGTGGAAACAGTGGTTGTTGTTGCTGGTGACGGCCCCTGGGTCCCATCGACATTCGCACCCAGCTGCGTCCGGAACAGTTCAATCCCCCGTATGCACTCCGGATTGTGTCCCGCCCGGCGGTATTCGTCCTCCACCAGGGCGCCGAACGTGTCCACAAGTGCCAGGTCCGACCGGTTGAGGCGGCTCGTGGACACTTTGGTGGCGTAAATTCCGAGGGTCAGGACGCCCAAAAGGACGACGTCGGCCGTTATCAACCGCGTCGTCTTGCCGCGCGTCGACGAGTACATTAACAGGTCGTTGGTCGCCTTCAGCAAGGCCCGTGCCGACGCTGCTCCGATGCACAGACTAAAGTGAAGACGGTCGCGCAGCGGCGTGCCCGCGCAGTAGGTGTTGATTCGGTTCCGCAGGAAGCCGGGCGCCGACATGAGCGCCGGCCGGTGCAGGGCAATCAGCGTCTGGTGGAACTGGAGGGACACATACGTGGCCCGTGGGAGCTCACCACTGCTGCAAAACAGGTCTCGGCCAGGTCGTACGGACTCGGGAAAGGTGTCGGCCCAGTCGAGGAGGGCGCGGTCGAGATGGCCCATTTCGAAGAGCAAGTCTCTGACGGGACGACGTCCGCTGCTGCGGTAGAGGAGGTGAATGACCCTCGTCTTCAGACGGGCCAGCTCGACGAGTCTCCCAAAGTAATCGAACCCCTCGGTGACAGCTTTCGGCACCCTCCTATCACACTCGTCATCGCGAATGGCCGACGGCCGGCCCGTCTCCAGCTCCATTGTCCTTTCCAAGATGTAGGCGGTCCACCAAAGGCGGGAGGCCAATTCACTCTGTCTGTCGTTGTTGCTATCATTGCGGTGCAGTTGGATAGCCTGTGCTAGTCGGATGGCCTGCCCCAGACTGCCCCAGCTGGCGGCGTCTTTGTTGCGGTTTCGCAGGGCGAGGGTGAGGAGGACAAGTGCTTGAACAGACGAGATGGACGGCCGTGCCACCAAGTGAGCATACAGACCATATGCCGCTTCGAGATAGCGGGTGCCGTCGTCTGATACGCCGCCGTGTTCTTCATCAGCCGCCAGGCTGCATAGAGCATACGTGCATGCCAGAAGGCCGTAGTCGTTTGTCTGGCTGTCGCCGAGGTGGGCCACAGTATGTGGGATGTCCTGGCGGTCCATAACCGGAAAGAGTGGGTGGATTTTGGTGAAGAATGTCTCCGTGTATCTCGTCAACGTGCTATCGGCAGGGATTGGAGGCAAACCAGGCGAGGCTGTCCCAGTCGACAAATACGGCGATGGAAGCGGGATTTCGGATGCATACGCCAGTCCGTGCCGAAAGTGCGGAAACACGGGCTGCCATGCCGGGTTCTTCATCATGAATAGATCCAGCCACTGCACCAGAAGACAGAGGCTGTTGGTGCCGCCTGTCGTCGGCGTGGTCGAACTTATGTTGTGCGTGTCTGTTCTGGCCATTGTTGGCCCCGTCGACGCCTCGTCGTCATCTCTGCCCTCCCCGAACGGCGTCGCAAAGTGTCCTGGGAGGATCTGGTCCGGCGACCCCGTCCCGAAGGCGCGGTGTGGTGGAGAGGGAGGGAGAGCCGGGCATTCTCTGCCGGGTTGCACCTTCGGAGTGGCGGACGGCGTTTGCTGATATCGTCTTCGTCTTCCCACAGGCAACTGCCTTCTCCCCTCTGCGTCTGGCTTCCGTAGATTGGTCGTCACGCATACCACCGATCGCCGCACACAGTTGCGACAGCTCGGCTGCTCGGCGTCGCATTTGAGCTTGTGGGCACGACACCATTGGCAGGCCGTAGACTGGCGAGGGGCTCGCGTTTTGGCGGGTGAGGACATCGCGGTGATGGTGAAGATGAAACATATGAGACAGTTGTCGGTGGTCAGTCTCGGGTGGGACATTTGAGTGTCGGCATTGGCGCTAGCAGATCACGTCACTGTATCAGGATATTTCGGGTTCTGTAGTTGTGCGCTGTGGGGATTGGCGGCAGTAGCCAGTCCCCGGAGAGGACAGCAGGCCATAAGTTTGCCGTTCTCAACTTTCGACACCGCTGGTCTGCATAGGCGTTTGTTTTCCCCGTTGACGGTCATGGATGTTTGGTCACGTACCGACCCATGATTTACTCGTTCGTACACTGACTACAACGAAACAACTGAATACTGAATGACTGATTGACTAGGTATCTACATGACTAGAGACAGAAAAGCCGGGGCACGTGCAATAAATCCACCACCTGTCCTGCGCCGTATGTTTGCGAGAATACACTGTTGAGTTTAGCCTTTAGAGCAACAGTAAACGTTGCAAATTACAAGACATCTTCAACAATACGTGCACGGTTCAAATGTGCTTGTATGGTTCCTTCTTTCTTAATTCACACACGCACAGAATAAATATTTGATTCTGATAATATCCGTCTGCGGATAAAACATAATTGTCTGTTTCCTGCAATCAACACACGGTTAATACAAGCCTTTACAAACGTCTCCTTCTGCACGACCCGCGCTGCCCGTAGATTTACGACTGACAGCCAACACCTCTAGACAAGGGACGAGGACCTGTCCACTCAGCCGGTATGGGGCGGGGGTGGGACGTCCCAGTGATGTTGTTCTAATTGTTGATTGCCAGACGTATATTGGGCACTATTGATCTAATCTATCGGCACTTTTTTTGTTAATTTCGTCGGGGGCGGGAGTTGAGCACGCGTCGGTTGTTCGACTCGCCCACTTTCCTCGTCTCTCTCAATTGCCGTACAGATATATGAATAGTGCACATATATGTATGTTGTTCTGCCCGGGGTCGAAAATCCACTTTCCACCAACAAGTTCAACAACTTCCGACCACCGCCATGTGGATGAGTGTTGTCATTTCGCTTGCCCTGCTCTCGGGAGCCAGGGCTGCGGCTGTAGATGCGCCGTTCAGCAACTACCAAGCCAAGATCAACGCGTACGTTTTCCTTGTAAAGCGTTATCCACTTCGACCGTTTCCAAGCAAATGTCTCTAACACACCCAGGAGCCCCCGCAATCCAGTCTACCCGATCGATTCGGTCGACAAGATGGAGTCGTCCGCGATGCCCAATATCGACGCCTGGATGCACAAGAAGATTGAGGCCTACAAAAACAACAACTGCACCCTCGACAACGCGGCCATCCGCAAAGAGTGGAGCGACATGGCCGAGACGGAACGCCAAGAGTACACGGGTGCCATCAAGTGTCTGATGAAGCTGCCGCCCAAGTCGGACAAAACGCGGTTCCCGGGTGCCATGAGCCGCTACGACGACTTTGTCGCGTACCACATGACGCATGCGATGCAGCTGCACGACAACATACACCTGTTTGGCGCGCACAAGTACTTTGTGTGGCTGTTTGAGCAGGCTTTGCGCAACGAGTGCAACTACACCGGGTACCAGCCCTACATGAACTACGACCGGTATGCCGAAGACCCGGGCAACTCGCCCCTTCTCAATGGTAACGCGTCGAGTATGGGCGGCAACGGCGAGCCTGACCCGTCGTACAAGGGCGTGCCGCAGTACGGGCGCACGCCCAACATCATCAAGTCCGGCGGCGGCGGCGGCTGCGTCAAGAGCGGACCGTTTGCGGACATGGTAGTCAACCTGGGCCCGACGTCCGCGTCCACGGGCAGCAATCTCCCCAAAAACCCACGGGCCGACGGCACGGGCGCCAACCCGCGCTGCCTGCGGAGAGACGTCAATCGCAACGCAGCCATGGGCGCCACCAACGAAAAGGCCTACAGTCTCTTACAGAATACAAAAATGGACAAGTTTTATGACCAGCTGCTTGGCTCGCCGATTCCAAAGAACGACCCCTACCCCTGGGGCATCCACACGGCCGGGCATTACATTGCAGCTGTCGACCCGGGCGGCGACCCTTTCACGTCACCCGGTGATCCACTCTTTTACTTCCATCATACTTCGTTGGACCGTTTGTGGTGGATCTGGCAGAGTCAGAACGTGGAGGAGCGGCTGTATGCTGTGCCGTACTCGAACGCGACCATGCAGATGAACATGAAGAGAGACACAGGAGCGGTGAACACGGCCGGCGCTGTTGGAGACGACACGAACCCGTTGGAGTCGTTGGTGGACATGGAGTGGCTGGGCCCGGCCATCAAGCTGCACGAGACGCATGACCAGTTGGGCGGGAACGGTGGCAAGTTCTGTTACATTTACGTGTAGGGGGTGATGGGAGACATGTATTTTCATTTAACAGATAGCAGCTGTCGCTTATCAAATTGTGAATACACATACTGCATACCAACGTCTCCCTGTTGGCCGAAGTAGGAGGCAACTATGATGTGGAATAAACAATGGAACTGCATGTATTTGTACGTCGCAGGACGAGATGCAACTAAAATCAACGAATACTTCTAGACGCCCAGAGAACACGCTAATTTCCGTGCCGCGAGATCTTATATGGACAG